ATTGCTTGGGCCAATTATGCAGCAAACAAATGACCCATAATGAAGCAGAGCTCTATCTTCTGCCGCCGTCGCCAGCCGTTGCTCGTGTTGCAAGTTGCAGGCTATTGGGGCAGCCTGACAAAGTCAACATTTATCTTGCCATATACGAAACAGAGGGAAGTCCGAAATGAAGGAGTTTTCATACTTTTGGAAATTGTAGGGAGCTATGATGAACGAAAGAAGAATACTCTATAGAGGCTTAAATAAAGCATCTTTGGAGAATGTTATATCGGATAGTATATCTCATATCTTGTATGATCTTAAGACCTAGGCCCCCAAAAACCCTCTCTTAGCAAACATACCCCATTTCAGTAGCAGTTCCCATCCATTTCCGTGGCACAGACAATAAAGCCTTGGCCAGCAACAAATAAATTTCAGTCCCAATGATGGCCAAGGCGGCTGCCAACTAACGTTTTTTTTTCTTCCCAACTGGAGAGATTCGAGAGCGGGGCAGTGGGCCCGGCCTTAATTGCCATGTTGCGGCAACATGTTGCTGATCAATAAGAGCAAGAGACCCCTGGACACGGGACACGGGACAGATGATAATGGCTATGCAGCAGTTGTAGTTTCAAGTTGCAAGCTGGCAGCGTGGAGCAAATTGTCCATGTCCAAGTCCAAGTCCGCGTCCAAAGTCAAAGTCAAAGCCGAAAAGCCCGACGACTCCCAATGAGAGTCCCCATGATTAATGACAATAAATTTGATTCTCTTCCGAGGGGAGGAATATACTACAGTGTATGTATGTATGTATGTTGGGGAACTGAGATCCGGGCTTTTTGGTGGATCAGCGAGCGGCACAATGGGGAAGGCTTGATTAGGAGGAGCTGGAGAATCAGGAGCTGGGCCTCGTAAATTTCAAAAATATGGCACGGCAGCTGTCATAAAAATGCAATGCAATGTTGCAATTTGTTGCTCTTTTTTATTTTTTTTTTTTTACTATAGTGTTTTCTTCTGTTAAGCCTGCCTGCATAAAATTAAGCGAGGTTGTGTCTTTCTAGCCAAAGTTGCAGCCACTGCGCCTGCGCATTGTCTGACTTTGGGCCATCACTCAAAACGTCGCACGCTAATTGGACAGAGAAATTGCAGAGTGAAGAGCAGGCCAGAAGACCAGAGGAGCTTAGGCCTCAAGACTAGCTCCCAGAACGGCATGATTTAGTGCACAAGGCATTAGGTTTTTATTTATTTTACGCGCAGTTTCGGTTTCATTTGGAGTTCTATCGGAATGCCTCCTCAACTCATTAAGAGAAGAAAACAAGCAGGCCTGCCTAGCCAGCCTGAACCTGATCCGGAATGTGTATTCGACTTCATTAAAAGTTGATTTAAATATTTTTCTAAACTGCACTATTGCCTCTGCAATTTATTATCTTTTTTTTAATATTTATTTTAATCTCATTGTCTTGGCGGTGTATGCACGTTGCACTCGAAGTGCCTGGTGATTATTATGCTCTTTAATTAAATTACCCATTATTTTAATGGCTTGGCATGAAGTCATAAGCATCCACCCAAAGCCTACAGTCTCGAAAAGTCTAGCCTAGAATGGGAATAGAAAGGTGTCAGATTAGAATTTCTTTTGCGGAACATAAAATTTAATTACAGGCCAGATTGGGTGCAATGCAAAATAGTTATGGGGAGCTGTTATAATTATACATGGCAATAAACACAAGGCATATATAAGACAGTTATAACTCTAAGGATCTTGATTTATTATACACAGAGAATAAAATTTGATTTCCCCAATTATAATTCAAAGTTTATTGCAAGTCCCTCTTATACTCTAAAGTTTTTATCTTGGACTCTTGGAGCTGGCTTGGCCATACTTGAGTTCTTTTGACAATAGTTTGTTTTTGTATGGTTCTGGTTGGGTTTCTATGTTTTTTTTTTGGTAGCTCACTTGACTGTTTTTGGCGCTGTCTTTGGGAGACACTTTTTTTTGGGAGACAGACAAGAACACGAATGGAAAATTGTAAAATGTCGCCAAGTGGGGAAAGCAAGGGGGCCGGAGATAAAGAAATGGGATAGTCGATACGAATTCGGCGGGATAAACAAGTTTACGGCCCGCGACAGACTTAAACAACAACAACAACAACAGCAAGAAGTACATGGACTGTTGCAAGTTGCAACAACTGCAGCACAGCATCCAGATGACGCCAAGAAATGCAGATGAAGCTGACAGCAGCCAGCAGCCAGAAAAGACGACGTCGGTGCAATGTCGGTGCAATGTTCATTGCATATAGGTCGCTGCTCCATTTCCACTTGGACGCCACTCGGATCTGCACATACTTTTTTTTTTCCCCCAACAGCCTCCTCATCAATTGAGAAACATGCAAGGAAGCAGCCAAAAGCAGGCCTCACCACCACCACCAGCAGCAGGACACGCCGATCTTTGGCTGCATAATTGCCAGTCTAAATCAATGGGGCGCAAGATGTTGCCGCTGTGCATGTTGCTGTTGTTGCAGTTGCAGTTGTTGCTGTTGCACCCATACATGACTCTGTCGGACTTCATTGTCAACGCCGTTTGCCATTGCCGTCTCCATCTTCTCCAGCCAACCAACCAACCAGCCACATGCATTTGAAACTTCTGCTTCTCCATCGTCATCGGCATCGGCATCGCCATCGCATCGCCATCTCCATGTCCCCGAGTCTTGTGGCCATGTCCGTCGCGGTCGTCGTCAATATTTGCCATGATCTTATCGTCAAGCGGAGTCATGTCGCTGCCATGGCTCTATACCTCCTCCTCCGACTGCAGTCACTTGGGTGCAATTATTTCTTTGGATACTCTAACCGAGAAGTGGTTCCTAAAAGTATTATTTATTTTTAATAAAATAAGTAATACTTGAATCATTATATGAAGCATATTAGTTACCTTCTTAGTTCTATAATCTTTGAGTTTGTCGAGCAACTCTATCGATAGGGTATTGAATGGATCCACATCTTCTCCGATCTGCTGCACATCATCTTTGTCGCTGAGTTATGGCAAAAGACCTTGGACTTAAGTACTAGCGACGTCTGTGCCGTCTTGCACCCGCACTCGCATCTGAGAAGACTCCTCCACCAGGAGGGAGGTAGTCCCCGCCGCCCTCGGCCTACCCCCTCCGTGCGCCAATAGTGCAATTTGTCATTGCACCGTCAGCGACGACGCGTGCGCCAGCATGGAGACTCATCGCGAGTCGCTGAGCTCCACTTTGCTTTCATACACTTAACGAAAATAATTCAGATTTTAAAATAGACATTAATTTGAATTGGACAACCTTTGACTTCTTCCTCCAAGTGTAGTTTAGAGGTCTCTGGCTGCCACAGCGCCTCGTCATCTATCGTCGACTGCCATCTGCTTACAGTTAAAGCGACTCTCGGTCCCCGGGCTTAGCATCTCCTGCTGCGTTTTCGGTTAGGAGCCTGCACCACTACCGGCTTACTGGCTGGCTGGCTGACTGGTGGTGCACCCTGGCCCTGGTGAAGCTCAACCTAACCGGCGCTCCTTCGCGACGACTTCTTTATGGCTCTTGATTTTTATGATTTTGCTGTTTAATGGTTCATTTGTGTGCCTCTAACCATGAGGCCGAGAGTGTGTCTGGCTTCCAGTTTTCCTATCGCCGCCTCTATGCTTCTGCCTATCTGCCTGTGTTAATCTTTCTCCTAAGAGTCTTTTTTTTAATGGTGCTTTTTGGGAGCCCAAAAACTCTGACTAAATCAGAAGTTATGGCCCAGCAGGAGTTGTCGAACAGAACTACTTGTTAAATGAAAATCGATGTTGCCTGCTTTTGGGGCAGCCAACTGGTTGTTGTCCAAACCAACCATTTAATGGTTAGCGCCCCTAAAAGCTCAAAGACCCAAAGCCATGATTATGTTAATAAGCCGTTGTGTTGACACTCTTGCTGATCTCCGGGCTCTCCTGGCGATCTTCTTCAGATCTCCATCATCATAAGCCCACCACTCGGCCTGGCTCGTCTCGATCATCGCCATCGTTTGGCCTGGCCATTTGTTTAACTGCCGCTGTGACACCTCCTCTTCTCCAGGCAGAGGATGCTGGTGGAGTCAGTCAAAGGATGGAGCAAGCTGACCATGGACATTGAGCCGACGACGTCGATAGCAATGGGTAATGGATAATGGCGCCGCCTCCATTCAAAAATCACTTTATGGCGTCTGCACCAACTGCTCGGTTGCGTTGTCCATAATTGGAAGCAGTGCCAATCATTTTAACAGCTACACAAACACGCGAGTCGCGGAACCGGCTGCTCCCTGGCTCCTTGCCTCGTTTAAACATGCTGATAATGCAAATATTTAGAAAACACACAGTCTCGACAGTAAAGTATCTCCAGCTTTTCGAGAAAGTATCTCAAACTGCCCTAGTGTGCCGACAAGACCGTCCTAAAATCAGCATGCCCTCCAAATGCGAGATATCAGGACTGGGACAACTTCAGGCTGGCAGGCTAGCAGGCTGGCTTCAAAGCGGTCTGTGGCAACAGGACCAGTAGCTAGCCTCCGTTCGTATCGTAATTCTGGTCTGGTCTCAATGACAATTGGCGCCATAGCCGCGGGATGCGTTTGGGGCTCGATGTCTGTTGGCTTTCGAGGATCGCGGGCCTCATTCTGCTTGCTATGTAGTTCCTGGGTAGTAGTTGGGTTGTTTGTTTATAATTAGCCCACTCGCTGTCCGGCCATCGACTGCAATTCAAATTGATGATGGCTACTGGTTTTGCCAGGCTTCCACAGCTATTTTTATGGTCGATCAATTTTCTAAGCACCTGATTCGCTCACGGAGAGAAAATTGTACAAGAAATTGGTCAACAAACAGTTAAAGTTTATTAAGTGCCCAAATTGCCTTGCCATTAGAATACTATTCAGTAATCTTTAAGGATTTTAAATCTGTAATAAAAATAAACTATTTCCGGTCTAAAATCTAGATAAAACCAAAGCATTTCCTAGAGATATCCTAATAGCTCTCTTTTTCTTTAAATTCCAGGTGGAATTAGTATTTCCGGACGATGGACTGCTTACATCGGAACATGTTCTGGGATTAGCTGGACATCCGCATGGACTGGTGGGTGCCCTGGGCGCTCTTCCGCCCCCGCCTCCCCAGCTGGACATTCCGGGTGGCAAGAAGCAGAATCAGCAATCGCAACTGCCGCTCAAGGCGTCGTCCGTGGCCGGAGCCCAGCCCCTGCTGGATGCATACCACTATCAGATGGCGTATGCGCACTGTGTGCAGCAGCATCAGCAGCGGGAGCGGGAGAAGGAGAGGGAGCGAGAGCGGGAACGCGAGAGGGAACGGGACAGGGAGCACTTGCCCCACGCACACCAACTGCCCCACCCACATCGAGCTGTGCTGGTGACGTCGCACCCACCTCCGCACCACCAGCCGCCCACGCTGAACTCTTCGTCGGCCTTCCGACCTTGGGGCCCCAACAACAAAGCCTTGTGGCAAGCCATCAACGCCTCGGGCCTGTGCCTGCCCTACGCTTGCCAGGAGCCGCCCGAGCTCCAGAACCCGGAGCGGGTCGTCCGGAGTACAGACAAGAGATACGCCGAGCGGACTTACCAGCCCAATGTGGCGCTGGCACCGCGGAAGAGCTACATGGCCAAGGAGCGGGAGGTGATCGAGCGCCAGAGGCTGCGCGACAAGGGCCGGGAGCACCACCAGGTGGTGCACATCAAGCAAGAACGATCCCCGACACCCAGCCACGGGGTGGCCCCGGACGGAGCAGCCTCCATGGATGCCGCAGAGCCATCGCACACCTCCTCGAGTGGCAGCAACTCACCGCTGCCCGCCCACCTGCCTCCACCACCCCCTGCTGCCGCGACCGCCGCTGGGGCACCACCCGCCACGGTGGCCCCCACTAGCCTGAGGAACATACGCAGTCCTGAGGAATTTTCGGCGGGTGGCAGCAATGAGATTACCTCCTCCACCTCACCACATCACCAGCAGCGGGAGCAGCAGACGGGACCGGCCACTGCTGCGCCACCACCACCCGCCTCCCTGCCACACCAACACGTCATTGCCACCGTCAACCAGCATGCCAAACTTTTGCCCAGCTCCAGTTCTCCGGCGAATGGAGGATCGACTGCCTCCTCGCTGGCCAGCAATCACAGCAACAACGAACCAAGCCGGATCAGGATCAACAAGAACCTGATGAGTCAGCAGCCGGTGCTATCGGCTCCGTCGCACTCTCACACCCACCACATGCACCACTACAGCCACGGCTACTACAAGGGCCAGGGCTCCTCCCCCACCCAGTCCTCCAGTGCCGGGCTGAACCTGAGCACCCACTCTTCGAACGTGGTCAGTTCGCCCCACCCGAAGGCACTGGGAAATGGCAGCGGCAACACCAATGGAAACGGGCACGGAAGCCACCAGAACGGCAAGCCCCACATGGGCAGCGAATTCGAGCTATCCACGGATACGGACGACACGGATAGCCTGAATGGTGAGGCCGACTCCAGTGCCATGCTGCCACCTTGGGAGCAGGCGGTGGAGTCCTTGAGGGAGACGCGTCCTCGAGACCGGGAGAGGGTTCTGAACTTGCTGCAGCGTCTGCTCCAGGAGAACAACCAGTACCGCTACAACAACATCCAGCTGAGCGAGTTGCTCCACAAAAAGGATGCCCAAATCGCGGATCTGTCGGAGCAGCTGCAGCGATATCGCCGCATGGTGGACAACGATTGCAAGGTGGACCTCCGGAAGATGAAGCAGACCCAGCTGGAGGCGGAGGAGGAGGTAGAGGAGGGTCGGGGAGAGGACGAGGAGGAAGACTTGGAAGAAATGGAGGAAATGGAGGATCGGGCCAATAACAATAACCAGCAGGAGCAGTCGCCCTTGGCGAAGCCTGCTCGAAGAAGTGCCACTCCGCTAAACTGTTGCTTGGAAAAGCCGGAGAACGAAGAACCGGAAACCAAGAGGATAAAGTTGCTGGAAGAATCGCAGGAACGAGAAGTCGAGCAGGACGGCAACAGTTCGGAGCTCCAGGAGCACCAGAAGAATGAAGAAAAGCACCTCCCCCTGAAAAGCCCCCACTCCAGCGAAGAGGAGATGGACGACGACGAGGACGATGACCCAGAGGATGAGGAGGAGGAGGACGAAGACGATGATACTGAGGGGCAGATTCAGGCGCCACACAGCAGCGCCCTGGCCACTCCGCCCACGGCCACCACGCCCATTTCGCCAGACTCGGCGGCAACTGCTGGGCAGTTGTTCGACAGCAGCAACAGCAGCGATGAGTCTTCGATGAAAAAGGCCCAGATGTCCGCCTGCCATGCACTGGAAAAAATCACCAGCAACCGGGAGAGCGAGGAAAAAGATGCCGACGAGAGCCAGGAAGCGACCGAGCCCGAGGGAATGGCCAAGACAGAGCGTGAGGCGGATCCTGATGACTCCGACTCCGAAAGCGATGACGATGAGGTGCCGTTGCAGCAGCGACAGCAGCAGCAGCGTCAACGGTGCTCCGCTGCAGTGGTGCCACCGCCCCAAAATCTCCCTCTACCGCCGCCACCTCACCCACATCCACCCATGGCCACCAAGGCCAGCAAGAAGCAAACACCACCAGAACCGCCCTCAACAGCCTCCACAGCCGCGACAACGAACTGCGAGTTACCAATCAAAAAAGAAATAGCATAAAGGTGTTCTGGAACGAATGCAAGAAACCCCTCAGACAAAACCCCAACAACCTCTCAAAGAACAGCTCTTTCACCCAAGAAACCCATAGTTTTGTTAAATTTACATTTTTTAAAGGAAAGTGCAGCCCAAATTCAAGCACAAAGCCTAAGCGCACATCTTACCTATTTAAGGGTATTACAAACTTTGGCCAGAAATGAAAAATATTTAAGATGGATCTTATATTAAAACCTACCTTAATCTAAAATCAATCTTGAAAAAAAGGGAAAATGTTAGGCTAAAATGTCTAACACTTCCCAAATCACTTTAAATTTTTTACAAAAATTCTTTTAAACGCTTTCAAATAGCTTGAATTGATCTCACTTATAAAGAAAAAAACAAACAAAAACCCAAAAAAGCTTAATTTAGGCTTCCTTCTTGAAAAAAAACAACAAAATAAATATTTGAAAACCTTTCAGATTGCTTGCAGAATTATAGATGAAACCAAAGCTTTAAAAAAATCATATTAATTTTGTTGTACATTGTTCTATGACCAATTTGTGCGTGTGTTTTTACCATTTACTGCTAAACCTAATTAAGTTACTTTTAAATAAAAAATTTATAAGCTCTGCAAGACACTTAAACCGGGAAAGTTTATAGAGAAAGCGAGGCTTTGAAAACAAAATTTAGAAAAAGGTTTCTCTTTGGTCAGACAGGCAGCTGGTGAAGAGGCGAGGTCCCCTTCCTCCGGAAACCATTGTAATTAAAATTTAGTTTAATCCTAATCTTAAGTTGAACAGACAAACCGAGAGAGCCGAGAGAGAAAGGAAATTCACACAAAATGAACCCACCACAATATAAAAAGAATTAAACAAATGCTAAAAAATTCTAAAGTAATTCTTATTAAACGGAAAAAACAAAACAAATATTTCATAGTTAAGCAGTTGCCGCGTTAAATTTATAAAATATACAAAACATATATGAATATGCGTAATGTTCTACGATATATAGGATACATAGATGGAGGGGCCGGAAAGCGTAGGCCTATTAATGCCAAGCCTCTGCGAGCAGCATAATCATATACAACATAAACCTAAACATATACGCATACATAACGATTAATATTTATTGTAGCTGCTAGTTCTAATTCAAGTAATAATTTCTCTTGTATAATTACAGTCTTCTGTTTTATTTCACTCCTTGTAAGCTTTGCTCTGTAGGCATTTAGTTTCGTACTCGTAGATTGTAGATTAATAATCACATTTTGCTAACTAATTTATAGGACTTCTATTTAGCTTAGTTCTTTATCTATTGTGTCCGCACTGTGAACGGCATTGAATGGTCCAAGCTAAATTCTTTCTGTGTATATATATAATTTTCCTTTTGAAGAGACTAGAGTAGGATGGATTTTTGAGTTGCCAACACCTTGTGAAAACCCTACCATATATAATTGTACTATATATGATAGATATCTTCTGGATGATAACCCCCAACTGTGGAAACAAACCCAAGCCAAGAGCCAAGCGAAAAGAGCGCAGAGATTTCTAAAATCTATAAAATTTTGTTATAAAACCAACATATTTCATAAATTATTTATGCCTGTGTGTGTTTGTACTTTCTAAAAGAAAACATTTGGTTTTATTATTTAAATACAAATTTCTGAAATTACATAAAAAATATTCAAAAAAAAAACAAAACGAAAAAAATATATATTTAAAATAAATTCAAACCAAAATTTGTCTAGATTTTAAGCTAAAAGTTTGTAAAATTGTAAAAATTTAATAAAGAAAACAATTAAATATTTAAATTAAAATATTACATTTATAAAAAATTCAAATTTTGAGACATTAAGCATAAAAAAACGAACGGAAAACCAATTGTTACGCATATTTTAAAGTTAAATAAATTATATGCAACAAACAAAACTTACAATTGCTATGCAAAAAAAAATAAAAAACAATAAAATAATATACAAATTATTGTAAATTAATTTTCTTCAACTTTGTGTTTTATTTGCCCAGAACCAGATCGATAACAAACGAATTATATTTAGTGAATTGTAGACAAGCAAAAGAGCAAAAAGGTTCATCCGAAACGTCTAAACGGTTTTCAGAAAATTTCGTGTATTTATGGCCAAATTTTACAAAAAACAATGAAAATAGTTGAGCATACATAGAGATGTGAAGTAAAGCCCGAAACATGTTTTGTATCATTTTTTGCTAACAACCCAAAGAAATAAACAACCAGAAAACAATCATTTTTATAATTAAACGAGTAAAGTATATTGACAAATTTTACATAACCCGAGTGTTTATATATGACATACAATATTATATAATTACATTTAAATGAAAAAAAAAGGAAAAACAAAAACGAGATAGCGCGACGCCCAGCAAAATATCTTTGCCCAGCTTAATAAATCGACTTGATATTGTTATTAAACTTAAACTTGCGAAGGTTAAGCAACCACAACAAGAACAAGAATCACAAAATAATGGCATAAGTTATACATTTAATAAATATAAGCATGCAGCAACAAATCCGCGTCTTGTCAAAATACAACATTATACATAATTGTGTCTGACGAATTCAGAATGCAGAAATAAAATGTACAAATTGTGGAGCAAATAAATAATAGAAAATGTAGTGAGAATTTGAAGAAAAGATAAGCATGAAAAAAACCCAAACAAAAGCAGAAAAATATTGCACCACATGCAAGTAAAGTTTAATCAAATTAAACAGTTAATAAAACAAATTGACTTCAACGTTTCATATATAAGTAGAGCAGAAACAAATAAAAACAAAATTATTACAAATGTAATGAAAACAAAACCAACAAATAAAAAACGATAAATATTATGCAGAATATATTCAAATAGTTTTTTTTAAATGGTGAATAAATAAAAGGGAGGAAGGAAGCATAGCATATTTAAACAAAAAGGTTTAATGGAAATTTACCTTGTTTAATTTCGGGTATTTTTTTGGTAGTTCTTTGACACAAACGGTACTTCCCAAATTCACAACCGGATGTTAAGCTTTGGTTCAAAATGGCGACTGTTGAACTCGTTTTCCTGTTGAAACGTATTTTCGATGGCTGTTTCTAAATTTGACCGGAGTTTTTTTTAATTTTGTAAAGGGGATAGGAGCCATTCATATAGTTCTATATCTTAATATTACCTTTTTTCTGACAATTAGTTTATTCCTGCATTCCGAGTGCTTCTCAATCTTAGCAACTAAACTTGACTGACAAGAAGAACGAAAAGATACATCATAAAAAATCTGGGAAATATATTTAATATATACGTATACCTGTAAAGGCATTATAGATATATAGAATTTCAGGGTATTGATTCTTTTAATTTTAAAATTAAAAAAAAGGAAGTGATCGATGGTTTATCACAGCATTCTGTTATGGAACATAACTACAACATAGAGCTGTTAAGCGCAAAACGCTTGGGGATGCCACACTGTTAGGAAAATATCAAATTTTATGTTCCTACAGAAAAGTAATATTTTCAAAATTTCTTTAAAATACATTTATACGATTTAGCTAAAGAAAATATACAACAAAAATTATGTTTTAAAAAGACACGGAACATTACACTTTTTACTGTCTTTTTCATTTTTTAATTAGGAGATTATTTCATACATAATTTTAAAAGAGATTATCAATTTAATTTTAATCTTTTTAAGGAAAAATGGACAGAATTTTTGAAAGAAAATATCAACAATTTATTTTCAATTCATAAAAGAGCATCCTTGCCAGCAATAACAGGTGAGAAAGAAAAACAATAGCCGATCTCGTTACCTGCTTTGGGAGAAAAAATGGAGAAAGAGACGCGGCCAAGACCTGTCTCAAGTCTCTTCTTCAGTCGAAACTAAATCCCGATCGCGAAAAGAACGCCCAGCGGTCTATTGAAAGATTTTTCAATGAAAAGAATCTTAAACGAGCCTAATAAGAAGAGTATTAATTGAAAAATATAATTAATGGACAGCAAAATAACAATTTCTATTGTTAAAAATTGAACAATTGAAATTCTCTTGTAATTATTTTCTCAAACAATTGTAAAACAATTTTGGCTTTGTGTTGGCCAAGAATTTTTTTTAGCCAGGAACCGGTTTTTGCAGTTCAACAAAATCTTGAGGTTGTAAGAGAGAAAATAAGAGTTTTAAAGCGTGAAACGTGGATGTGAAAACATAAACAAACCCATTAGCAAAAATAAAAACAATAATAAGATTTGAAGAGGGAGATGGAAGCACGTGCAACGTTGGTGCATGAATGATATAATATTTAAAAAAAGAAATAAAAGTTTTCAAGATATAGACATGAGTCTGCCGCAGTTAATTGATGATTTGCAGCGCCTTTCTGAGGATCAGGATAGTGCTGATGTTGTGTTTATTTGTGGGAGAGATGAACGTATCTACGCTCACAGATTGATGTTAATGGCTCGGTGAGTTCTAAAAATATATAATCATAAAAAATAAAATCGACCTTTTTGTTTTAAATATTGGTAAATAATTTATCTGGCTCTTAAACAAAAATTTTTTTCGGTGTGGAAAATTGCCTCTATTTGGTTTCCTTTTTTGGAATCTTACAATATTGCGTGCGTGAATCTTTGGAATCTGATGCGACCATTCCAGTTGATCACTTAATTAATTTGTACCGACTTTCCATTTCAGTTGCAAGAGTTTCAAGACCGCCAAAAGGGGCGAGGTGTGCCGCATTCCCGGGTGCACCGTCTCACCAGCTGCACCTGGAGCTTCCACACCAACCACAATACGTTTGCCACATGTTAATCCGGATCTATTTCGGCAGTTTATTCTTTATGTTTACACTGCAAAGGTAAGATTAATTTATAAAAAGTACAAGAAATCCTTATAATTTAAAAATATAATTTCAGTTAGTGCTGCAGGACTCGCAGGTATTCCAGATGATGATGATGGCCCAGGACATGGGTGTGGTTGAGCTGCGTACTGCCTGTGAAGATCATGTCATATCCACCTTATCAGTAGATAATGCCTGTACATTTTTGACGGCAGTTATGGATATACATGAAAAAGCAGGTGAGTTTCTGAAAAAATTTTACGTCCGATTCTCAAGCGGAGTACTTTAAACGATTTCTGGATCGATTCCCCACCATTCTGCATCAAAATCCTGAGACGAAATATTTTTTCGATTTTTTGTCCATTTTTCCTGATGGGTCCCCTGAAAATGGGGTTTTCCCCTATAGGGCCCACGGCGATGGCTATATCTTCCTCAATTCTCATCCGATTCTCAAGCGGAGTACCTTAAACGATTTCTGGATCGATTCCCAACCATTATGCATCAAAATCCTAAAACAAAATATTTTTTCGATTTTTTGTCCATTTTTCCTGATGGGTCCCCTGAAAATGGGGTTTTCCCCTATAGGGCCCATAGGGATGGCTGTATCTTCCCCAATTCTCATCCGATTCTCAAGCGGAGTACCTTAAACGATTTCTGGATCGATTCCCCACCATTCTGCATCAAAATCCTGAGACAAAATATTTTTTCGATTTTTTGTCCATTTTTCCTGATGGGTCCCCTGAAAATGGGGTTTTCCCCTATAGGGCCCACGGCGATGGCTATATCTTCCTCAATTCTCATCCGATTCTCAAGCGGAGTACCTTAAACGATTTCTGGATCGATTCCCAACCATTATGCATCAAAATCCTGAGACGAAATATTTTTTCGATTTTTTGTCCATTTTTCCTGATGGGTCCCCTGAAAATGGGGTTTTCCCCTATAGGGTCCACAGGGCTCTATCTTCCCCTATAGGGCTCTATCTTCCCCAATTCTCATCCGATTCTCAAGCGGAGTACCTTAAACGATTTCTGGATCGATTCCCCACCATTCTGCATCAAAATCCTGAGACGAAATATTTTTTCGATTTTTTGTCCATTTTTCCTGATGGGTCCTCTGAAAATGGGGTTTTCCCCTATAGGGCCCACGGAGATGGCTATATCTTCCTCAATTCTCGTCCGATTCTCAAGCGGAGTACCTTAAACGATTTCTGGATCGATTCCCCACCATTCTGCATCAAAATCCTGAGATGAAATATTTTTTCGATTTTTTGTCCATTTTTCCTGATGGGTCCCCTGAAAATGGGGTTTTCCCCTACAGGGCCCACGGAGATGGCTATATCTTCCTCAATTCTCGTCCGATTCTCAAGCGGAGTACCTTAAACGATTTCTGGATCGATTCCCCACCATTCTGCAATAAAATCCTGAGACGAAATATTTTTTCGATTTTTTGTCCATTTTTCCTGATGGGTCCTCTGAAAATGGGGTTTTCCCCTATAGGGCCCACGGAGATGGCTATATCTTCCTCAATTCTCGTCCGATTCTCAAGCGGAGTACCTTAAACGATTTCTGGATCGATTCCCCACCATTCTGCATCAAAATCCTGAGATGAAATATTTTTTCGATTTTTTGTCCATTTTTCCTGATGGGTCCTCTGAAAATGGGGTTTTCCCCTATAGGGTCCACAGGGATGGCTTTATCTTCCCCAATTCTCATCCGATTCTCAAGCGGAGTACCTTAAACGATTTCTGGATCGATTCCCCACCATTCTGCATCAAAATCCTGAGACGAAATATTTTTTCGATTTTTTGTCCATTTTTCCTGATGGGTCCCCTGAAAATGGGGTTTTCCCCTATAGGGTCCACAGGGATGGCTGTATCTTCCCCAATTCTCATCCGATTCTCAAGCGGAGTACCTTAAACGATTTCTGGATCGATTCCCCACCATTCTGCATCAAAATCCTGAGACGAAATATTTTTTCGATTTTTTGTCCATTTATCCTGATGGGTCCCCTGAAAATGGGGTTTTCCCCTACAGGGCCCACGGAGATGGCTATATCTTCCTCAATTCTCGTCCGATTCTCAAGCGGAGTACCTTAAACGATTTCTGGATCGATTCTCCGCCATTCTGCAATAAAATCCTGAGACGAAATATTTTTTCGATTTTTTGTCCATTTTTCCTGATGGGTCCTCTGAAAATGGGGTTTTCCCCTATAGGGCCCACGGAGATGGCTATATCTTCCTCAATTCTCGTCCGAATCTCAAGCGGAGTACCTTAAACGATTTCTGGATCGATTCCCCACCATTCTGCATTAAAATCCTGAGACGAAATATTTTTTCGATTTTTTGTCCATTTTTCCTGATGGGTCCTCTGAAAATGGGGTTTTCCCCTATAGGGTCCACAGGGATGGCTTTATCTTCCCCAATTCTCATCCGATTCTCAAGCGGAGTACCTTAAACGATTTCTGGATCGATTCCCCCCACCATTCTGCATCAAAATCCTGAGACGAAATATTTTTTCGATTTTTTGTCCATTTTTCCTGATGGGTCCCCTGAATATGGGGTTTTCCCCTATAGGGCCCACGGCGATGGCTATATCTTCTTCAATTCTCGTCCGTTTCTCAAGCGGAGTACCTTAAACGATTTCTGGGTCGATTCTCCACCGTTCTGCATCAAAATCCAAATAGTTAAAATAGTCAAAATATTTAAAGTTTTTTGTCCATTTTTCGTGAAAATGTTTTTATCCCCTTTAGGGTCCTTATGAATTTGCGATCAATCAGTTGTGTGGCGGTATGAAACTATATATCTTAAAAAATATAGGAGGGATTTTTTGAAACACAGCGCCAAAAATGCTTTACATTCATTTTACATGTACTGTAACATATGTAATGTAATATTGATACCACTTTTTTGCTGGTATTTTACACATAACAGAACCACCTCACACTGTTAAATGCATGAACCGCCAATCGATATACACAAAACGCACGTTTTGTCATCAAAAATCACGTAACATAATGCATGTTTTTATTGCATTATCAAACTTTATACATTAGAACTAATCAATAGCTAGCAGACGAAGTTGTCCCTGCCTTCTTTAAAATGCCGTCTTCTAGAACTTGTTCTGCTCGCGTTGTAATCTTTGGCCGTAGGTCCTGGAGATAAGGTTCCACGAGTCCATAAACCGGTCCATGCACATGGAAATGCATTTCTATAAATTAAATAGGATAGAATAAATATTTTCATCTACATTTCTTGGCTTATCTAGCTTTCTCTTGCCTGTTCCGAGGAGTCAAGCGAGGTTCCGGGTTTATTGACACATTTTTTAAAGCACTTTTGTGTCATTTGTGTGAGAAGTTCCTGAGCGTTGGCCACAGCAATCTGTTGCTTCACCTGGTCCATCAGTTCACTTTTATCCACGTTGGCGAGAGACATGTTGTACGATTGTTTTTATTAAGACTTAATTTGTAAATTGACTAGGAAATATGGAAAACTTCGGTTTCACAACTTTCCGCTACTACAAAACGTTAACAGTGGTGCTTCGATAGATTCTTTCTTCAGCTGAGTCTTATCGATAGTGTTGACAGTGCGTTGGTATTTTTATAATAAAGTTTTCTATAGTTCTTATTTTTATAAATAAAAAATGTATTTTAGAAATTAGGCGTCTAAGTAAAAAATTTGTAAGTATTAAGCATTTTTTAACTCCAGTTCTTTAATCGATAAGTCATGTTAAACTTAGAGTGACCCTCTGTGGACGAACGATACTTTTCTTTCTTCCATCACTAAACGGAACAACAGACGCCGGCTAGAAAATTTTGTTAAATTGAATTAAATTGCCCGAAAACTACAAAAATGTCCTTCAAGGGGAATCCCAAGGTTCAGAAGGTGATGGTGCAGCCCATCAACCTGATTTTCCGTTACCTGCAAAACCGTTCCCGTGTCCAGGTCTGGTTATACGAGAACATCTCGCTGCGCATCGAGGGCCACATTGTGGGATTCGACGAGTACATGAATCTGGTGCTGGACGACGCCGAAGAGGTTTATGTGAAGACCCGCCAAAGGAAGAACCTGGGAAGGATCATGCTCAAGGGGGACAACATCACGCTTATACAGAACGTCAGTCCGTCCAAGGACTAGGACTCGCTACCTTAGATTCCACTGCCTACGATAGCCGCACGTCGTAATTATTAAGTAAACTAATGTACACTCACCTGGAAATTTCAATAAAATATAGAAACTCTGTAAATTGTAAGCTTTTTATTTGGTTAAATGAGAGATTTTAAGAATATTGGCTATAAGGGATGGCTAAAGTATAAGAAAGGATATGTTTGTATGTAACATAAGAGTATATTTGTTCATGTAATGTATTAGTTTTGTTGTTGTTTTAGGAGCAAAATGTGCCGCGTCTTTCATGGAACGCTGTATAATCTACATTGGAGAGAATGCCACCGAATGTGTTAAGACCAATGCCTTCCTGACCTTAACCAAGGAGGCCCTCATCAAGATCATTTCATCAGACTATGTAAGATAATCCTGGATTTTTAATAGGACGTTTGATCTTACTATTAAATATTACAGTTCTGTCTGGAAGAGGAGGAAGTATGGCGTTGCGTTCTTGCCTGGGCCAAATATCAGGCTGGTGTAACCCAGCCCACTGCCCATTGGACCGAGGAGGAACGTGCTCGGGTCTGCCAACACCTGAGTGGTGTAATGGGCCACGTGCGGCTTCTGCTTATTGACAGTCAGGTTTTCGCAGAGGAGGTAGAACCTACAGGAGCCGTTCCCATGGAGCTGTCATTAGAACGCTATCGTTATGCCGCTTTGCATGCCAACAAGATGATCGATAACGACAAGAGACTCCAACCCCGTTTAACTGTGGCCATCAACATGTTTCCGGGTTCCCAAATTCTTAGGAACGATAAGACACCTTTACAAAATGTCCTAAATGGATGGTTTGGAGTGCCCAAGCAATCTTGGCGACTAGTTTTCAGAGCTTCAACACATGGATACGATTCGGGGACTTTCCATCGCTATTGTGATGGTGTGGCGCCCTGCATGGTCATTGGTTTGGGGTCTCATGGAGAGATCAGTGGCGGTTTTACAGACGTGGCTTGGGCGAAAACGAGCCGCAAGGGTGGTTATGTCCATTCCGAGAGAGCTTTCTTATTTGCACTAAATCCCGCCAACGGAGAGCAACCTACTAAGTTCGATATTGTCAAGAAACCATATGCTATCTGCTATCACCCGGAGTAAGTGAAACTAATTTGTTAAGATTTCTCTAAAACCAAATGGCTTTAAAATCTCTAACAAAATTATTTAAAATGTTAAGTTAAAAACGATTGTCTTATCGTCCATTTTAAATACCCAAAAACGTTTTAAATTTGTATTAATTTAAAAAGTAGCGGGCGTTTACTACTGGTCCTTGAAGCAATTAATCAAAACGTGTGTGTTTCGACCATTTGGAAAAGAATTTAAAAGCTTTTATCATTCGCTTTGTTGACCAACTGTCTGAGAATATGTTAATTAAGTGTTTTTAAATGAATTTAGGTTAATAAAAACGCTGCAGCCGAAGGCAACGCGTTTTATGTTCAAGTCTTGAGATTCGGATTAACATATTACCCTTCCACCTACAGTTGCGGACCCATTTTTGGAGCTGGCGCGGATCTCCTTATTTCCAGCAATTGCAACACTAATATGGACTCATACTCGAACCTGCCACATTCCTATGACGGCACCAATGCCGCCCATTTGACGCTTTTTGGAGACTACAACTTCACCATCAGCGACTACGAGGTCTATACATTGGCTCCGCCGGGAGGAGGAAGTACCACCGGACCCGTTCACAGCAGCAATCACAACCAGGTTCAAAACCAGAATCACTCAGCGAATGGTCAAGCTCCTGGGGTGCCCACAAAAGCGAAATACGATAGATACTAAGGGAGCTACAAATAAGATAAAAATAAAAACAAATTCCAATCGAATTCGAATCAAAGTAAACAATCAAATACTTGTAGTTGCATCAGCTATGCTGGCTAATAAAACTATTTCCTTGAACGATCGATCCGAACACTCGAATATTGTAATCCCAGATCCGCAACGACTTGGGCTCTAATGGCATTATGTGCTATGTGTCGGGTTCATGACTCCGCCCAAGGTAAGAAACCAGCAATCGAAAGGTAATTAATGAATTGTTATATAAAGAAAACTTTTTGGCGGCTGTCTTGACTTCCATCTAGATGCCAAGAATCGGACCAAATTAATTAACTGGTTTCCCACTTGTATGTAAAGTTGAAAGTGTTACCCAAAAAACACAAAACAAAAAGCAGAGGGCGGCTCTTGAAGTTTATATGTAGAATGTTTCTTTTCTAAACTAGCACCTCCTAGTGCCAGGTACAAGTGATGACAACTTAGCTATTTTTCTGACAAGTATAGATCAAAGAATTTGTAGAAGTTTTGAATATTGAGGAACTAAATATATAACTAAGTGGCTGTCTTTCAGACAACAATATCATGTCAATAAATACAAAAATATTTCCATTTAAAATCCATTGTAGTGTCAACAATAGCCGTATTACTGAAGTGCAAAATGATATGATTTTTTATTACAATAGGCTTATTTTAAGTCTAAAGCATCCATTTTCCTTCGCTGCGTTCATCAACCCTTGGTCCCACTCTCGTGGCGACTGCTCTATATTGTTACAGATATATATCTGTCTATATAGCTATGAATAGCTATGAATGTGCACTTGAACCTGGTCGAGATTGGTCCACACCTCTCGAACAGTGGAACAATTGACAAAGAAAAACAAATGCGTAAATGGCAATTTCTGTGGCTATTGCTGTTTTGCTATTTCTCAGATCTCACTGTTCACTTCAGTTTGTGGGGGTTTTAAGCCATAACAATAATAATGTCGGCTAATGCTGAATTATAATGAAATCTATGGAAACACCAAGCCACCTCCCTCAGCCAGCAGCCAACAGCCAACTGCCAGCCCCCTTTCGGAAATACTGAAGTTGCTCTCGACTGGTTTTCAACTACTTTTCAAAATGCTTCTGATAAATTGGTCCACGCTCTAAATTGGTTCTAATTAAAGATTTTTTTATGCTGATCGAATCGATCAACATCGATTGGCTGGCTGGTGCTCCCCCCCACAACATTTTTGTCATTCGTCTCGAGTTGGGGATTGGAGATCCGAAAAACTTAAACCCAGTGAGACCCAAAACGACCCCCGAACCAATACGACAAAAAAAAAGGAGAACCCTCAACAATGGCAGCCAGCAACAAACACTTGATGTTTGTGGCGTTTTAGCTTTTTATCGGGGCTGCACAACAGATTGGCATTTAAAATTTGTTAACGACTTAAGGCCACAGCTCAGCTCGAGAGCCACCTTTCGGATAAGGTCTACAAATTGTTACCGGCGCTGTTTCACTTCTTTTTTTGACAGACGACAAAAGCCGCCAGAGGCTATTTGAAATATCCAGCAGGTCCAGGCGCTAGAAGGAATGTCACTTTTCGATACAATTCGATTTCGCGTCAAATTATTTGATTGTCGAGTGGATTTCGATTTGAATTTGGCTTTGACTTCGGGTTGTGGATTCGTTATGGCAGCCCAAAATCAAGCAAACCAAAACCACCAAGAAGTTTCAATGTCTGTCGCATGAAAAGGGAAAGGAAAACAAATGTATAACTAACGCTTAAAGCTGCCTTTTATTTTTTTTTGTTCGTTTTTCGTTGCAAACTTGTTCTGGCCTTATGGAATCGGTTCAGTTCAAATTGCATCTGGGTATGCAACATGTGAGCCGAGATAGAGAGACTAGGGACGGGCAGGAAGTGCCACAGCCTCCAATGAATCATAGGCTTCCTCATATGGGAAAAATCTATAAAACGAAAAACGCATAGCTAATTTTCGCCAAGACGGTGAATAGAAAAATCAGCCATGACAAATCAATAAAAAATGGATAACTTAAGAAAGTACTTTACAAAGAATATATTATTTATATTAGAAGTCTCAAAGGCATTTGAAATATATTTACATAAGCAATTATTTATTTAATCTTAAACAATATACCACGTTTCTTTCCCTCCTGCTTGAATTCATTTTCCATCCCTGAGCTTTTTATGAAAATGTGCAATATTTGTTTGGGCTTGGTCAAAAGCAGCCCCCATAGAACAAAGGCCTGGCCATTAGCCATGGCCATGGTCTATGGTTATGACTTGGTCAGTTTTCAACATAACATTGAGTAAGAAAAATAATTCTTACATTATTTTAGATAATTTTCAAAAAATAATTTTGTCTAAAAGCACATTCCCATAATTAAGTTAAAAATATCATCTAGAAAAAATAATTATAATTAATTTATGAAAATTATGGGAAACTGTGAAAAAGATTTTCTTACACTGTTCAGGTAGACAGGCGGCACCTGGCCAAACCCAAGTGTTACACTTTAAATGACTTATTTGCATGTAAGAATGCGAAAAAGGAAAAGTGGCTCACTGCATTGGCTAACAATGACCCTGAAAAGGGGGACCTGGGCCAAGTCGAACCACTGCATATCCTCCATTTAAAAAATTCCCCACTCGAGCTGTTTAAATCAAAATTGAATCATTCATCAAACAGGAGATCAAACCATTAAAGGGCGTTTTTCCCAGAAAAAATCATGCCAGCGATAAGATCATAGCACGCTGTCTGTGTTCTATCCATTAGCCGCATCCGTTTCCGGCTCTCGAAACGAGGGGAGCTCCAGTTAGAGAGGTGCTAATATGCAAAGTGGACGCACTGAACCGAGATCCGTGACGTAGAAGACCCGTCTACACCTCCAATCTGGCTATTAGTGCCGCACCTCCCACCGGTGGCGAGTCATTCATTCATAGCATCATCGCCATCATCAATTTGCTCATCGCCCGATGCACTCGACACACTTCAGAGCTGGAGTATGAGGCTGGAGGGGGCCACCTCTGCTACCTTTCCCACTCTGCCCATGTAACCACTAGCTACTGTTTCACCTGGCCAAGAGAGTGTTAAGTTAGTGAGTTAACCCCGGGAGCAGAGAACCCTAGAGCCGCACGCTCTCTTAGCCTGGCGGTCATGTGTGTAACGACTCGCGACTCTCGATGCTCTTCACAACCTGTTTTGAAAGCCCACTTTAGATATACTTTTGCTTTTCATTGCCTTCGATGTTGAATTAAGCAGACATCGTCGATTTCGTCTTGGTTACTGTGATTAATATGCGTTTCTCGCCACTAACGCCACTAAAAATGTATATCAGCCGCCGACGACGCATCCCGGTATTGACCTAGGTCACAAATGAGTTCTCATTAACCTAATCCCATCGCCTAATGATTGTGGAGGAAGATTCCCTCGGCTAAGGTATGCGGAAGAGCCCAGAACAGAACAATTTCATTCAACATTCAATGCAGTGTAATATATCACAGTACTAGACGTAAGTTCTCTTCCATAAACTAGAAAAACGCAAGAGATTAGTCTTGCAAATTGCTTGTTAGATATGGTGTTTAGGTTTGTTTTTATCTGTCACTCTTTAGCATAACCCAAGGCACTGTTTTTTAGCTCGTAAACCATTTGAAAATAACATAAATTGAAAAAAGGTGCAGCTTAATTAAAATATAAAAACAAATACACAAGTTTTAGGAGTTGACAATCAGGTAACTTTTAAAAAATATGTGATAAGGAAATAGACAAACAAAACTAGGAATTAATGCTTAAAGTTTAATTGAGTTTAAAATTATATTACAATTCTTAAGATATCTCTTTAGCTTATTTAGAGGCTAGAGTTTCATGTTAACTTCTTATAGAAATTCCTTATCTATCTCATAAGGGCATTCGAATTTCGTTAAACCCTTTATCGAATATTTTCCGGTTTTTTTTTTTCATTTTTCGTATTGCCATTCAGCTGAAACCAAAATGAAAAAGATAAAAAAGCCACTCAGTTAGCCGTGCGCTCGCTCTTAGCCAGATTCAAAACTGAGCGCAATGTTTCAACTCGGAGATCGGGGATCGGAGATTTTTGAGATTTCGAGAGTTGGGCAACTGTCGAAGCTGAATCTGAAGCTAAAGCTGAAACATTTTCCCTCCTTAAGTTAAGTTTTTTTTTAAAGGCGCACGGCGAGAACGGCTCAGTCGCGATTGTCAGCTTGCCGTGAATGGTATTTTAGCATTAAAACGCGGACGGACGGACACTGTTGCCCGGAGCTCGCGTCGAGATCGCGCTAAAGTTATTTAATAATAATAATAACAACAACATCGTTTGCACATATATTTGTAGATATATGTATATAGCACATAACTCGCCGAGATAATACGTGCGCGGGGTGGATGTGTGCGTGTGTGTGTTTATATTTCAGCGGCAGAGTGTGTGTGTGCTAGCTATTGTTGCCAGGGGTGGGAAGTGGGAGCTGATCTGACTGATTTGTTATTTTTGCATAAATCAATTTCGAGAGCGCGCGCCATCAATTTCCGTGCGCGCAGATCTGTTCTAGATGATGTCGCCGCATGCGCAGCCGAATCGAGTTTGTGTCCTAAGTCTTTCGTTTTCGGTTTGATTTTTCGCTAACTGGAGTGCTAGCTCCCCGTCCTGACACCGTCCCATGGCTCTGACGAATTTCTCGCTGCCTTTCGGTGCTCTCGGCCAGCAGCCGTGGGGTGTCACCTTGGCCCCCCTCCATCCCATCCATCAGCTGGCCAGCAATACCAATAATCTCCTCTACTCGCCGGCCGACCATCAGCAGCAATCTCCAGCAGAGGCAGCTGGCAATCCTCCCGACTACTTTAAGAACAATCCCTATGCTCCACCCCAAGCTGCTGCCGCGGCGGGCGGATATCAATATCAGAACACCGGTGGCAGACATAAGCAGAACAATGCCTATTTGCCGCCCACTGCTCCGAATGCGGTCCGGAATTCTGTGTACCATATTCAGCAGGTGCAACAGGTGCAGCAGAGCCAGCAGCAGCATCAGCAAATCACCCAGCAGCAGCAACAGCAGCAGCAGGACCAGAACGAGAACAGTGTATCCTTTCAGAGCACAAGTTCAAGGTCGAGCAGCAGCTCCGGCCAGAGCTCCATCCAGCTGACACAAACTCACTCCAGTGGCCGGGGCCCGGGGGAGGGCTCGTACACCCGATTCCCGGGACAACCTCCCCAGCAGCAGCAGAAGCAATTCTACAATGCCCATGGCAGTGCCAGTGCCACTTTCACGAAAAACACTGGCAGCTTTAGTATTACCAGCTATGGCAGCAGGCAGCAGCAGCAACACCAGCAACAGCAACCGCCATCGCAGCAACAGCAACCACCCCCAGCACCGGCCCAGCAGCCACGTTCTAGGCCAACCAAACCGGAGGCACCCCAGCCCGCCCAGACCTACGGAGTGGCACCTCCGGAAAATTATCCTGAACGAGCTCCGGGCTTTACAAGGGTCCAGGCTGGTCAGGGTTCCAGGACTCAGGTGCATGCGGTGATTGACTATGATGTGGAAGAGGGCGAGGAGGATGAGGAGGAGGACGACGAGGAACTGGGGCCCAATAAGGGTGAGTGTATATATTTTCTAAAAACCAATTTAAGAACCATCTTTTAAATCAAAATATTCTTTAAAATTAATGTCGAAACTAGTAGTTCTTGAAGACCATTACTAACCAAAAATCCTAAATCTTCAAGCAAATATCCATAACAAATCTTAAAACCCAAACTTGAAATACTTCTTGTACAAAATAAGCAATTTTTAACACCAATTACATGACACAAAAGCTTTTCATTAAAAAAAACATCATATTAGGGGCTTTTTTTTCAAAGAACAGTCTAAGATATGAAGAATCACTTCCTTATTCACTTCAAAGGAATTCCCGAGATGTATCAATCTTTGGAGTACATTCCACTTTGAGCATTTCCTGACTCCGAACGATGCCAATCTGAGCAATTAACAAATAAAAACAAATGTTGGTGTTTTAATTTGTTTACTTTATTGTCAAAGTGTACGAATTTGGAGCATGTAGATGGCTTAGAGTGATAAGCCAAGTGAAGAGTCCCACGTCTGCACACGATCAAGAAATAAAAACAAAATATTAAATCGAAAAACCGATTGAAAGTCATGTTAATTTATAGTATTAGTTGTTGTTTTGGTCGAGGCTTAGCGGCTGCTACTTGTTTTTGTGTATCTTTCCAATTGAGAGCAACTTCTGCACAAGATCTCAGAGATCGGAACTGGGATCGGGTCGTAGTGGAGCAACTATAACTATAACAAATAACAAAGTTGTGGAGTAAACAAGCGCACAAGCAACGAGCGGTGGCGCAAGGTCAAAGGTCTACAAACCGATCGGCAAGGTCACTTTCAAGACAGTAATGGCCAGTGTTTGACTTTTATAACTAACAGACTGGCACGCATCACGATTTATGTTGTGTTGTGCCGGGGTGTATCTATCTACCCATCTATCTATCCGTATCGGCTCGTGTAGCTGTATCTCTAGGTGTATCTATTTTGGCCTGCCCTTGTTGTCCTCTTGGAAAACTGTCAGCGGCTCTTCACTTTTTTGGATGTTTCACTTTTGGCCAAGTTTGTGGCGCCTCTTTACTTCTGCCTCTGCCTCTCCATATACATACATCTTTTATCTCCATCGCCATCTCAATCCCCCAAAGCCGTTGAGGCATTAGCCAGCCAGCAACCTGCCAGACTTCAGACCTCAAGTACTCAACTCGGTTACGGGGCTATTATGCAAGAAGTCGCGCTTCAATCTTTGTGAGGAGAAGGGTGGCAGGGGCGTCTCATGAACCAGCTCTCCATATGAAGACGTGCACACGCAAGACACACGGCTCACAAGATACAAGTTTGGCTATGGCTGGCTTTTTGTCTCGATCTCGAGTACTCAGCACTTGGTTTTCACCTTTGTGCAGCCCACAATAACAACAAAAGTTATAATAACAGATCTCAGCTAAAGATCTCTGAACAATCACAAAAGAATCTATTTCAAAACATCTTTCGAAAAGAATCGCTCATTAGCTGAAAGTGACATGGTTTCGATGCACAGCAAGAAAATTATGATGAGAATCCAAAGAATATATTGTATTTAGGATAAGGATATTATAAGAATTCCCAAAGTATTCTTCTCAGTACAAATCTTCCTTTCAAACTTTCAAACATATAACATGTATTGGTACAGTCTTGGCTAAAAGTTGTTCTGTATCTATGTCCTGTATCCTGTGTATAAATGAGTATTAAATATTGTAGAATTTTTGATAAACTTAAGCCCATTGGTCTTTTAAAACCTATACCTTGTAGAAAAGACACCTTATATCTGCAAAGAAAAACCCCCTTTATAGATGTACATATGCTCCCTTTTTCAACATTCTTCAACTCGTTTTGCATCCTGCAGCTTTTTTCAAAAAAGGGAAAGTTTCCGTCTGAGGCCCAGATCCGGATCTGGGCATTACAAATGCCAGGCAGACATGAAATTTATACATGCAAGTGTCAACTGCAGTCCGATTTGTATGCAGACACAGACTCAACCTCTGGTGCTGGTACTGGTGCTTGCACTTGCACTTGCAATGGCAGCTATCTGGGTTCACTTTTCGGGTTTACCCGGGCTGATTAATGCAGTGACAACGACAACGGATACGACAACGATTCCAGCTCCAACTTCAATTCCAATTCGAAACTCCCACTCCTACTCCCCTGTCCTTGCACATGAATCATCCACATCATCGCATTGCACAGAGAAACAATGCCAAAGCAATCCAAAAAACCACTCCAATTTCAATTTCATTTTCATTTAACGATCCATTTAAATTCCATTCACAGATAGCAATCAGATGCCCACGGTGACGCCGATCCAGGGACCGATCTACTTGAAGAATGGCACGGTGCCGGTGGTGCCGCTCTTTTCCTATCCGAAGCTCAACAATGGATCGTTTCTACAGATTCCGGTAAGAATGGATTTTTTTGAAAGGGGCTGTTGGGAAAGGTAATGTGGGTGTACGAGGCTCTGAGCACGCGCGCATTTTAATAGCCACACTTGCAAAAAAAAAAATCTAGTGCAGAATTCTGAAAAAGTTTAAAAAAAAGTTTAAGAATTCTATTCTTATATAAAAAATATCAAATAATGTTTTAAACAATCCATCATACCCATATCTTGTACATGCTGTAACTCTATAGATCTATTACCGGTTCTAGTTCTGCTCTTTTTCCCCAGTGTACTCTCGATTTCGATCGAGTTTGCTCATTTGCGGAAATAACTTTGACGATTTTGTGTGTTCATTTCGGTTTTTCGGTATTTTTTTGTTTTAATTTTATTTTTTATTTTATTTTCTTTTTGCTTTTGTTTTTTTGCACACGAAGGTCGTGCGAGTTCGTTTCATTAAGAGGTGTGATGATGTTGATGACGCCAAAAGAAGAGCAAGGCGAGCGGTGGGAGAAAGAGATCCGGACTCCGGAGATTAAGCCAAGCACCGGCACATGTCTACTCGAATATGGGGAGCTTAAACCCCAAGACCCAACTCCATAGTCCACTCCCCGCCACAGTCATAGCCCTCCGTTCGGCCATCGTTGCGTTTTTCGAATATAAAACGAACTTTTATGTTTATGACTTACTCGAGTCATTTTCACACCCCGGCCATAATTTGTTATGGTCTCCGAATCAATCTCGGTAATCTCAGTACCCTCGCCGAAAACCCAATTGCCTTCCTCAATGCTAAATACTGATGGCACACAAATACCCAACATATATCTCACACATATTGTATCTGTATATCTGACCAATTTAGATCTGGTGGACGGCCCTGTCGGTGGCTCTGGGCCTGGACGTGCGGGGCGATGTCATCAAGGGAGTGCCATGCATCAAGCGATACCATCAGCTGTTCTGTCCCACAGCCGGAAATAGTTATCCCATGTAAGTAGATATCACATCTAAGGGCTATTGTTCTTTGCGTTTTTTTCTCTTTTTTTGGATAATCGGAAATTCCAAATGGAAATGGAATGGAAACTCCCTTGAAATAATCGTTAAACCTTTATTATAGTCACTATAACTGATTGATTCAAGGATGTTTGCTTTTCTGCGGTTTTCTTTAAAATTGAGTTCTTTGCCAAAAGCTGCTCTGAATCACATTTAATCCGGGTGACTGTTCTTTAGTGACATACTTAGTTACCCCTCCGACTATCATAATCGTTCTCATTAGCATAGCCGCGTCAAATCCAAACGAATTTCATCATTAGGCCCAACGAGAGAGAAACGTGCCAGTTTTGGAAAGGTTCATTGCCATTAAATCAAATCAAGCCCTAGTTGATTCACTACTAGACTAGTTCCTTTGCTAAAGCTAAACATTTATTAATTAATTTCTTAATTCAATGCAATCTTCTAACGTTTTTATCACTTAAGTGTCAAAAAAGGGTACCATGAAAATAAAATATATTAATTTTATAAGATTGATAAGACTTAGTAAAGCATTAATATTTTCCAGTGACAAAATCGAACGATTCATAGACGACAACAAGGCTCTGATGCGAAGGATGTACGGGGACTTTGAAATGAACATGGAAGGTCCTGCTGGGGGCGGAGGAGGAGGCGGCCGGCAACAGGCTAAGGCGCGAAAACGTCGCTTCATAGACGAACCGGATATATTCATACCACCCGGAGCCTTTGCGGCAAATGCCGGAGAATCCGTGGAAGCTGGTGACAGCTATTTTGGGAAACTCCGGAACAAGCGCCAAGCTGCCGCAGGAGGAAGTCGCAATAGAGGCGGAGCTGCCGTTGGAGGATCGAATAGCAATGGAAACAGCAATGCCAATCGACCTCAAGGCAATGGAAATTCTGGCACTGGGAGACTGGATGCTTGCGAGTCGAAAATAGAAATTGTAACACCCTATTGGGCATCGAATTCTGCCGGAAAAATCCGAGCCATTGTTAATACTCAGCATTTCGAACAGGCCATACACCAGGAGGTTTGCAGGTGAATTTCGGAACTCGTGGCTTATTATGGGCTTTCTTTTAGTTTTTATAATAGGATTTTGCTCAGGTAATTTGTTAGGCTTTGAAAAATATTAGGCTAAATGTTTAAGGCATTAATAAGCCAATTAAATTTACTAATGATTTTAATAGATTGTTTCTTAATTACTTTAACTTGAAGATAAAATCAAGAAGACAATCATTTGAAACCTGTATTTAGAGATTCATTAAATTAGTACAACTTTTATTTCAAAGCTTTACACAAATGACAAAACCTATTACTAAAACAAATTGAAAGCCTAATTAATGAATGTATTTATTTTATTCTTTTTATAATATATTTCTTCTATTTTTATAGTAACACACAAACTCCCCGATGTGAAGGAGAATGTGGATGCGAACAAAAGTATAAATGGCATCGACTGCTCGCCTACGATCCCGATAACGATTGCAAGGGCATATTTATGGATTGGTTCCTGTTTCCTTCGTGCTGTGTCTGTAGATGTAATCCCTAGATCAACCGACTCTCAGCAATTAATTATATAATGCATATAAAAAGTTGATAAATGTTAAATTGAGACAAGTAATCGTATGTAGGTAGAATGCCACTGAATGTATTTTAGTTGTTGTTAAGTACATAGATCTTACGTCAGCCCTAATCGGTAGCTCTAGTTAAGATCGATTCTACAAATATTTAAGGTTTTTTTTCTACGAGCCATATTGTATATCCCCCGAAGCACCCTTCCTTCTCGATCCCTCTCGATCCTCCATCGACATGCGATATTACTCAACCATCCATTCGTTGTTGTACGGTAATTGTAATTGTAAACGTAATTGTAAAACGATTCAAGTGAATAAAGTCTATGCAAATAAACCTAAAAATTGTGACTTTGAAAATATGTATAGGAATTTAATTAGCAAATGGTTATAGCTTAGAATATAAATGTAGTACTTCTGGTTAGGTGTTTTTGGTTTTCCATATACTTCTATGGGTATATAATTTTAAATCGGAAATAATGGCAACGACCTTTTTTTCTAATATGATTTATTCATTCATTTCATAACAAAATGGAATATTTATTTTTATCATTTAAGAAGCCATTTTGTAGATGTAATTTAAAAAGTTAGGAAAATATACTCAGTTTTTTTAGATGATTAAATTCTTAAACTAAAACCACTGAAAATGGCTTCATAAAGAAAGGACCTAAGTAAATAAAATAAATTAATAACTGAGCATTTAAATTTTATTTTTAAATTTTGTTAACTTTAATAAAACTATACCCCATTTTCATTTAAATTAGGGTAGGGATTAATTAGAGATAACGTCTTCATTTATTGGAAAAATAAATCAAAATATACATTATATCTATTAATCTCGCAGTATCTGCTCGATAGATATCACCTGCATGCAAAACTATTACTAATCCCAAAATAGAATGGTACATGGTGAATCAAAATATTATTATTACCTTTATCTTCACCCAGTTATGGCATACTACATGTTGTCAGTTAGTCAATAACGAAATCTCATGATTTATTAAATACCATATGACTGAAGGGGGAAACCCAAAACAATTATTGACATTTTGATAAATTCCAACAAAAAAAGCTGCTAAAATTGGAATGCTATAGTTAACTCAAATCGTATACAAGCAAAAGTAAATAAATTATGGTAAAAATATAAAAGTAATCAAAAAAGTTATTTTTGCATCGGCCGGGAATCGAACCCGGGCCGCCCGCGTGGCAGGCGAGCATTCTACCACTGAACCACCGATGCTTCGTACCGTTACGACTCTAAACTTGCTCCATAAGCTTCGGAGATGAAAGAAACCTGAAAAAGAGCTTTCGGGAAAGCTTTTCTGGCCTACGACAACTGAAACTGAGTTTTTTGAACGGAATTCCAACGAGGAAGACCAATAGATTATTTCATATTTTGAGTAATTGTTTTTCTTATTTTTTTTGGGGATGGGGAGGGGGATTTTAATAATTTTGATGGAAGGAGTACCCCCGATTCTGGTGTGCTTCATAAAGCGTTTATATGCCACAGTCATAAATAACCCAAGCAGTTCAATGGACGGTTGGGGGTTGGATGTGCGATGTGTGATGTGTGTGTTGCATGAATGGTAGCATACATTCCGAGTGGTATTACTCGAGTCCAGCTTGGGGTCGTAAAACCCTTGCGATGCCATTGGCACACTTCCCATGCCCGTCACGTATTCAATCACAGCAATGGCTACACAAAACTGCGCTATATCAAAAATTTCGGTCTATCGGTCGTGCGTGGTATACAAATGGGTCCATTTCACCGACACCACAGATAGCCAACATACTCGCTATATAGCCCAACCAGCCAGAAGACGACCCAGAAGACAATAACAATTGAGTGCCGGGGCCCAGGCCCGTGCTTATGTCCGGGGAACCAGTTAACCGAACCGCAGCAATGTTGGCAGAAGGGGACATGGGGATCCGGAGCATTTATTGACGCCCGCAATGTCAACAATTGCAGCCATGACGACGACAGCAGCCGGGGAAACCGCAATGGCAAATTGAATAATTAGGACTAAAGAGACTATAGTACCCTAGAAACTCTAACATTTAAAAATACACTATCTAATTTCTATCCACAAATACTTGACTAAAAACAAAAGACCTTGTTCTGTTTAACAATTTCCCCATCATGTCCTAACTGATCACATTGTCCAATACCAATCCACCCACAAATACCTCTTGGACAAAGATGACAAGAGAACTGCCCACTAAAAGCCACATCGAGTTAACCATGAAAGTTGGCCAAGCGAAAACATTTCACCAGCTTCTATACTAAGGACTGTAGATGGGGCGTATACGTATTATGATGATGACGCCCGAACAGGACAATGGAAATGCGAGGCCACACAAACACCAGGACACCCAAGAGCACACACATAAAGGAGTGTGTGGTGACAATGATATGGATGTTGGTACATTTGTTTGGCTTTTGGACGACGCTGCGCGCGCACTTACTGGCGAAAAAGAGCTCGGCTTTGGAGACAGGACACGCCAGAAGGCTAATTCGCCAATTCCCAATAGAGGGTGTAGAGCATCCGGAGGACAGAATATCCGGACCACCACAGAGCCGTCGTCGGCGGCGTCCTGGCGTCATCTCAAAATCTCGGCGAATGCCACAATTTTTGGCTATAAATACAAATGTCGGCACGCAGCTTGGCTTAAACTTACATTGTTATCCTAGTTCACAACATCGTCCTGGGTTGTCCTTCGCCTTCGCCCACATATTCTTACTTACTTGCCGAACAAAACACATTCGGTACGTGACGCTGTTAAGACCAAAGTCCTCCCTTACCACAAAAATAAAATAAAAAGTAACAAGCAAGTGGCAGGAGCTGCTCCTTCAGTGAAACTCCAACTCTATTAGCCATCAAAAATATAAACTGTGAGTCACACATTCAGCGGGCTGGCTAGGTGGTGGTGCTGGTGCAGGTGCAGATGTGGTGGCTTCTGTTTCTGGTTTCAGTGTCAGTGCCATAATCATAAATTTCGGGCATTGTGTAATCCTCTTTCGATTGGGTAAACAAACACACCAAGTGGCCAAAAGTGCTGCAGTTTTTATTATTGAATCGTTAAAGCAACGGGAATTAAATTTTAAATTGGATTTTTTTCGTCACGAATGTTTTTAGCCAGAAATGGGGCATATGCGTCAGATATTGTTCATGTTTACCACTAAATATATTCAAAGTTTAAAATATTCTTCCTGAAAATAAAAAATTCATAGATTGTTTAAGGAAAATGTAATCTTTTTCAACATGACCTTTTGTCACTGAATAAATTTTATTGAACGAATTTCAATTTGCATCCCCTAACCAGAGATTAAATTACAAAAAAGCCCAAAGGAAGGCACTCCTTGGATTCATCTGTTACTCAATACCTTTGTAATCTCTGGCATCCATTTCTGGTTTGTTTTCATATTCCCACTGAGACCCCACCTCAAAAGCCATCACCAGTGCCATGCCAATTACACATCCTGCAATTGTCTTCGAAAAGCACTCTGCCAAAGAGTTCACACACTTTTCCCTCATTCCCCCTGCCGCCCTCCTCATAGCCCTCTTTCTTCGGTTGTAGTGAAAAAGAGCCACGCCCATTCAATTGGAGACGAAAAAACGCCCCCCTATAAAAGACAATAATATGCGAGTTGCAAGGAGTTCGGACCAGGGAGGCGGAAGACTGATGCGGGAAGGCTGCAGAAATGGAAGTGGAAATGGAAATGGTCACAGGTGGCTTTTAGTGTGGATGCTGGTACTGCTCCTGGTTGTGCCGCAGCATTTGGTGGATGGCCGTTACCTGCCGACAAGGTCGCATGGCGATGACTTGGACAAGTTGCGTGAACTGATGTTGCAGGTGAGCAAGTATTACACTTGAAGAAAATTTAAAAAAATATATTACATGGTAAGGTTATAGAAAATATATAAGAGGCTTTTCAAAAGCTTTCTTACAAGACCTATATCTTATCTCAGAATCAGACTATACTTTAGACAAGGTCTAAGACTTCTTAGATTAATCACTAATATTTTAAATATTACCTTATAGTTCCTATATCTATTCTTTTATTCAAAGATGATATAAGTTCTTTTCATAATAGATCTTAAACCTTTAAAACTCCTCCACAATTAGGGGTCATCCTTCAGTGTATCTGAGAGAATGTGCGATGGGTATCTCCTCCGGCCGTGTGCGTGGCCCGGAGTCTTGTGCATTGGCATTTTTGGTCCGCTGTCAATATAATTAACTAAATGAAAAGAGAGCCAAAGCGTGGTATTAAGTTGCAATTATGTCGCCAATTATTGAGGTTTTATTTTCGACTTGTTTTTGTTTTCGAGCAGAGTTTCTTCTGCTTTTTTGGGTTTTTTTGTATTTTGTTATTTTTGTTTTTGGTCACTTATGGAAGTTGAGTTGAGGTGAACAGAGTGGAATTGAATGGAATGGAGATTACGTCATCGGGCCCGGGTATAAGGTTACACAGGTCCCTCGGCCACGGCCCCACTGATGATTCCTGCTAACCGCACTACATCTTTTCTTGTGTTTTTTGTTGTTTTTATTTTTTTTTGTTGGCAATCTCCTGGTGCTGTGGTTTCTTGTGCGTCTGCAAACCATTTCAGAAATATTTTTACATATTTCGCAAGCGTTTCTTTTTTTTCGCATGCTGGCTATAAAGCTTCTTCTGGTGCGCCTCTTCGATGGAGAGGAGCCTGCTCGGCTACAATCGCCAACTTGGCCAACACTTGCTGCATGCCGGGCACCTCATCTTTTGCACAATTTTTGATTCGCCGACACTGCTGTGTTTGCCGATGTTGTTTTTGTTATTTAATAGTCTTTTTTTTGTTTTTGGCACAGTTTCCTGTTCTTTTTCGCAACCAAGACACAAAAATGCGGCTCAACTAGGAGGGTAGGAATTAGGGGATCAGGGGATTAGGGGAGCCTGCGAGGAAGCCCCACTTAACTGCCGCCAGTGGATGTGCAGAAATCCAACGCAGCTGCACCAATGCTGCGAAAATGCAACTGTTTGCCGACCATCGATTCGAGTATTTGTAGCAAACTGTTTAAGCTTTAAACACTATGAGAAATAATATCAGAGATATAACTATCTATTTTAAATTAAAATCTAGATGTGAAAGATAGTACTTTGTTCTGGTTCCTTTCTAAAGTTCTTAAATCATTAAAAATGGGTTTATTTTATAGTTATAATTTTTTCCCCTGCACATACTATATATGTAGCACTCAACCCCTTTTGCAGAATCTGTTTCTGAGTCACGATCCCTGCAAATCGATAAGTCGCTGACGTGCGACGCCAGACAAAGACCAAAGACCACAAGACCATAGACTATAGACCAAGAGCAGACCATGTTTGGGCCAAAAAAAAAAAACTTGCAAAAAGCGAGCAGAAAAATAAAGCAAAAAAATGACTAAAAAAAAGAAAAGGGAAATCAAATGTCAAATAGCAAATAATGACGATGACGTGGTCGGTCTGCTTCCATTGGCTCCTTCACTGTCGATGATGAAGGTTGACTTGGCTACGTCACTTTGAAGACAAGAAGCCACCGGAGGGGGAAAATGAGCAGAAAATGAAAACACTTGACACACAATAATGCATTGAACCTGAGAGCAACAGCAGCAGCCAGGCAGCCATGAGACAACAAAACCTGGCCTTTGGCTTATTGCCTTCTCCGGGATGGATGTCAACAAAATGACATGACTCCCCCTCAATCCTCAATCCTCCGACAAGGCCATCTCATCCATCTTTCCTCCCGTTTTCCTGTTTCCCCACCCAGAAGATGACAATCAAGTTGGAAGGAATTCCCAAAAGCAATTTGTGTTGGAGAATGTGGAAAATGACAATTTCATAATGCTCTCCGACTTATTAGAGAAATATTGGATTATAATTTTGTGACAAAGTGGTACGTGGTTGAACTTTATAATTGTTTTGGGTGGGATTTTGAACTAATTTGCGAATGAACTTGAGCTTATAATTTAATGATTATTTGATTATGAGATTGTGGGGGAGGATATCAGCCATAATCCCCTATGATTCCACAAGTCAAAGTAATAATTAATTTACTTTGGTTGACTTTTAAGAGAACTTATGACTGAAATTGATAATTTGGCTTATTTTTAAGCTATATTCTTTGAAAACATATTCTCTGTTTTCTTTTTAAAATTATCGTTTCAATAAAATGTGTTTTAGCTCAAGTTTCAAAGCCATAAGTAAAAAGTTGCTCCTTGGGCATTCGAGCATTATATCCAATTGATGGCAATTATTTCCAACATTCCTTTTCCACTTGCCACAAATGCCTTAGCCAACAAATCCCACCACTCATCAAGTGGCCCATTCCCCGGGCCAGAAAACTACCCGACCCAAAACACATCAACCCGGCGTCGACACCCGAAAGATTCTCCCTTCCCCCCTGGAGTCCCAGCGCAGATGTTTATTTATAAAGTATCTGCCAACTCCGTATCGCAGCCCAACTGGCAAAACGATGGCAGACACCGGGGCAAGGGAGGTGGAAGACAAACGAAATCACATAACTTTTCACTTAACGACAACTCTCAAATTAAACTGTCCAAATGTGCCAGTCGATGGAGGCTTTAATGAAAATCATCTCGAGACGACGAATCCCAGCTGGCAACGGGTCACCCCTCTAACTCCACAACCCCTGGGTAAACCTTAGACATCACCACCACCACCCCTCCCAGATGGAAGCCCAGATGCAATGCGATAACAATTCCAGAGTCATTATTACTTCCTTGTAAACCTTTTTGGCCATTAATGGCATTCCGAGTCAAGGAAAGGGAAAGGAAACAAATATTGCAAGTTGTCCGAAAATAGAAAACAATCTTTGCGTTTTTTTTGTGTCTTCAGACTTTGTTTCAAAATTAGCAATAATATAATTACTTGGCGCGAAATTGTTTTAGGTTTTTCACTTCGTTTGGTGTTGTTTGTGTTTGTTCACACATCATCAACACCGTTCGCCAAAAAAAAAAAACTCAAAAACCCAAAACTCAAAACAAAAGATCAGCCCTAGATGGGGGGAGGGCTTACAGTGGTAGCCAGAAAAAAAAGAGGTTGGCGTCTGATAATTACACGACAATACCCCCCATTAACACATTTTCAGCTCATCACAGCTCACAGCGGCAAAGATGCGGAGCCAAAAAGCTGGTAGCCAAGTTAGTAGGGTTTAAAACAAGTTAACCCATTTTTTGCAAACCTAAAACCAGATACTACTTAAAATTTTATTAAAATAAGATGTAAAGAAACCTGAAGAAAAACTATTCAGAAAAGGTTAGAAGCATTGAAGTTCTTTCAGATATTTTTTTCTAAGTTATAGCCCTTGGAAGCTTTATTATTATTATATTTTATATTGTTTTATTAAGCCTTTAAGACACTCTTATTCCACTTTAAAGCTCCCTTGATACTTATGGGGTTAAGCTAAGCAAACAACAGAAGCAGACAGCCTCAAGATGCGGCTTCGTTACAGATAAAGTTCATTCGATTTAATGATGCGCCAAAAATTAAAATTAAAAAAAAAAGAAAAGCTAAAAAAAATTACTAAAAATCTGTGACGAACTTCCCACGTTGGATAAATAAGATTTCAAAAGATTTTTTTGGAAATAACTCACACTCCATCATCGCCAGGCAGCAGGGGGCCGAACCGAGCCGTGTTAACAACAGCAACTATACGATAATTATAACAACCATAACAACAGCTCAGAGTTTAACTTGGTATGCTTTTTTTTTTATTTTTTGCAGATTTTGGAGTTGAGCAATGAGGACCCACAGACCCAGCAACAGCAGCAGCAGCAACACCCACTGCGTCTGCACAATGAGGCCACCGGCAACAGCAACAGCATCGGCAGCAGCAGCAGCAACATCAACAATCCACGCGTGTCCAACAGCAACTCGAACGCCGCCTGGCTGCAGAAGCTCAGTGCCATGGGTGCCCTGGACGAGTTGGGCGGTGATGCCCCCCGATTTGGGTCCAACTATGGACGCTATTAGAGGGCATACATCCTCTGAGACCGAACAACACCTGACAACAGCAACTACAACATCGACACAACAGCCACCAACGGAATCTGAATCCAAAAAGGGGTTACCGGGGTACAAGGGGGGAAACCATGTTGTGAATAAAATTGTTTAGGTTTAGGGCGGGGGGTTTACGAGGGGATAAAAGGGACATAGTCACAGGAATGGTCGCAGGATTAAAATCCTAAATGGAAACGAAACCAAAGTGCGTGAAAATGGACAAACAAATGGAGCAAAGAATTTCCCAGAAAATCACTTTGAAGTACGTACTAGGGACGAGTTTTGTGCCATTTTGAAACGGAGTTAAGGACTCTTGACTAAAATCACTTTTAAACTAGAAGGACCCTTGTCAACCCTTTTGCAACAAACTCTTTTTAAATGAATTCTATGATCTGTAAATCTTTTCAAGCCAAAGCCTTGATTGAATATTTTTAAAATGCAAACAACATGGCATCCCTTGGACCCCAAAGATCCTAAATCTAAGGTTTTATACGCAACTGAAAAAACTGAAAACGAAAACTTATAAAAAAGGACAAAATGCAGTTCCTACGCTAGAACAATAATTTTAAAAATTTTTTGGGTAAACCCGAATCGAAATAATGTACCTATATGTATGTACCTATGTGTTGTAGAGCAACCCCGTCCCTCTCTGTAATCTCTTAAAAAAAAAAAACAAGAAAACCCTCGAAAAATACTCCCTTTTAATGGTCTAGGCTAAGTGCGGATTTTCAACTTCTTTTTCAAGCGGCCAAGAAACAAGAGATAAAAATTAAAACAACCATAAAAACAAGCAAAGTCAATTGTAAATATTTTTTAAACCCCGAAAACCTTCCCATACATAGTCCCCCAGCCCGCCCCTAGTCAATGGTATATTAACTGGAGTTTTAATGGGCCCCCAAGGTCGCATACGGACGAGTCATATGAAGCTATATGCTTATAATATATATTTAAATGGATGGTGTATTTATAAATTATACTACTCCCAACTAACCTCCACTAACCGAGATGGCCTCCGCTGGAAGATGGGCCCAAGTTTAATGCGATTTCGGTTGCGACTTTATAGCCAAAAACGTGCAGAGGGAGAAATATATAAATATAAATATATATATTTATACACTATTATATTCATATTTACCACAATATACAAATAATATATATACTATACATATATATGTGTATGTGAATGTAAATTTAATTGTTGTTAACTTACGTTATTGTTATTACTTTTGATTCGCCGAAGCAGAAGCAACAATAAAAGAAATCATTTTCAATGCAAGACCCAGACGGGATCTGCCTTTTAACTAGATCTCTAGCCAGTGATACAGTGAAACCCCTTATGCAATATATGCGTGTGTGTAACGCAACTTTACAACGGTCCTATAGAGTACCAGCAGCTCCATTTGCAGCTCAGATTCATCTTCATCTTTGTGGCTGAAAAAACATACACATTTCACATCCATCTGCTTGAGGGCGCCGCCATCCCAAAAGATTCCCATCTATCTCAATTTACTTTCTCGTACCTCAAGTGCAACTCTTGACAAATTAAAAGCCAAAAAGTGGCACCCACCAGAAGATACCCCAAAAACCCATAACCAAACCGAACCCATTCCCCAATGTCAGTTCGAACCCGTTAAGTACTTTTTCTTCAGTCAACTCCAAGCCAAGTGCCGTTTGCCTTCTCCGGGTTGTCTCATTTGGTAAACGAAATTATAATTGTTTTCAGTTTCAGTTTCTGTTTTTTTTTTTATGTAAATATAATATCATTTAAATGGTTCCGTCTGCCTTTTGTTTTTGCTTGTTACATAAAGTCACAAAAGATACAATATAATAATTAGTATCTGTGCCCGCTACCGAGGTGTAGATGGCAGTAAGTTGTAGCTGGGCGATGGAGCTGGAGCTGGAGCTGGAACTGTGTTACTCGGTTGAGGCCATGGAGAAAGCAGAAAGATGAATGGATGAATGCGACGCTGATTACATGGCTCAGAATCGCTGTGCCATGGCAAATTCATTAAGATGTGTGGCAATGTGCATGCATAATTCGCATAATGGCCAAGAGAATTCAATCCGGGAGACAGGAGGTCTAACCAGACTACATAATACATATCCATGAGATGTCAGTATGTCAGAGATGCATCTATGGGAAATGGAAAGAATTCTAAAGTATCTAAAAAATATATCCACTATAGCTATATAGTTCTATCGTTGACCATGATACAAAAATGCAAATCCCTGAGATATTTGCATCTTCATTAATTTTCTAGCCATGTCGTGGTTTGAGGAATTCCCCTAGGACTCGGACTAACCACAAGTGAACCTGCACCTGTTCCACCTTTGTGAATTCAGCATAATTTACCGCAACCAAACGAATGATGATGATGACGATGATTTTGAATGTGAAAGATGAGCGTTGAAAATTAAGGAAATGCAATCTGTGGCAAGGTGGCATCATGAGGCGGGATATGGGGTAGATGGGGCGAGGGGTGTGGTGTGGGATGAGCGGAATGCAAGCCCCGAAGATGAACAAAAAAATCAACAAAACTTGCCATTTGGCTAACGGCATTATAAATGATTCCATCGAGGAAAAGTGACAGTCTCTGGCACTCTGCCTGAATCTCTCAACTGTTGCAAGTTGCTGGCTGCTGGTTGCTAGTTGCAATATTGCAACTCTCTCAGTTGTATCTGTTAGTGTGTCGTCCTCCGTTTGGCGCCACTGGCCACTGATTATGCCATTTCATCAAATTCCGGCAACAGCATTTCCAGGAGTGGTCATACAAAATGCGAGCAAGGATCGCTAACATTTTGATTGCAGTTTATAGATTAGTTTGAATAAATCAGCAGAGAAGGGGGAGCGGGGTGTAGCAGTGCTTCGAGGAGGCCAAGGAAAAGTTGCGCAAATATTTTTGCCAATCATAGTGTTTTTTCCATCAAACTCTTTTTCCGTCCTCTAATACAAATTGTCATGGCCTGGGCGCAAATTATTAAATAAGAAAAATAACCCCAGAAAACAACAATAAAAATTAACACGACGAAGTTACAACAACAACAATAAGAAATTGAAGAAATTCAAAATATTGCAAAAACACTCAAAAGAAAAAAAAAATAATAATAATAACCGAGCAAGAAAAATTATTAAATAAAATGCTTATGGAGATGGGCAAGAGATGGGGCGACCCAACAAGAGCGTGAAGCTCATTATGAAGCATCGTGGCCAAAACGCGGACACCAATTACAAAAGCAACAATAATAACAAGAAGTTGAAAGAGCAACAACAATAACTGTAACAATAATAATAACAACAAAACCCAAGCCGGGCCAGGCCAAGACAACAAACCCAACCGTAAGACAACAAAATACAGAAAGAAGCTGGCTAACAAAAGACTGAAAGACCGAAAGAGCATGAAGAAATGAAATAAAACCAACACCAAACTCAGTCCCAGTCCAGAGCACAGAGTTATCCCCCATCTTACAACCAACCCCATGACCCACCTCAAGTCCCCCCCCCAACTAAATGAGAGTGAATCCACATCCACATCCACATCCATTGAAATTGAAAGTGAATCGTGCCACACGATCCGATCCGATCCGATCCGATTCGAGGCAGTGACAGAGTCCAGAGTTGGTTACGAGCACATTGCGATTGGATCCTCCAAATGGCCGAAAATTAACAATTTATACATATACATCACATATATAAGATATAATAATGTAATAAGAAAAATATAAACAAAGTCTGGATATAAAGAAGGAAATAAAGCTCAAGAAAATCGAAGGGGAAATACTCTTAAATGTATGTCATTAATATTTTTAATATGTTCTATAATAATAGTTGTCACGATATGAATAATATGATAAGATAATGATATGATTTTCTGAAGAAACCTTTTTCAGAAAACGTTCCTGAATGCTTCAGTCTGACTTCAATATCCATATGCCCCAAATTCTAGGTAGTTCCATATACATATCTTCCTTAATATCTCTTATACCTTAATCTTCAAAATATCATTACAGGCCTTTGGCAAAATTGTATTCTTATATAAGTCCAAACCACATATCCTGAATGAAGTAATTCCCATGAATTATTTTTTATTACCCTTTTGAAATTGGAGATTCTCCCTACAGCTCCATTAAAAATACAATGTACCCCAGCCAATAATTTTTTCTTTGCCTTGAAAATAATCCTAGTTAGTAAAAAAAAAAAATTGCAAGACCCCACATATAAAACCACCAAAATAATAAAAAAAAAAATTTATCGGAGAAGGAAAAACCAAAAACCAAGAAATGGTCAGCAGACGATGCAGCCGTTGCTGCCTCTGTCCGCTGCGCAGTCGCAGCTAGGAGCAGCTGAACTGCGGCAGAGGCGGCGACAGAGAATGGAGGCTCCTCCAGCCTCAGTTGCTCCACCAGATGACTTGCTAACTTGGAGCTGCTGCTGCTGCTGCTGTGGCGACCGTTTGGTTTTAAACATTTCAATTTCTTCATGGTTATATTTCGCTGCTCTTTGCCAACTGCACAGTCGACGTCGACGGCGGCAGAGTCGGAGACGGTGACAGAGGCAGCGGCAGCCCCAACAGCAGCAGCAGCGGTTTTGGTCGTTTTGCTGGCAACTTCGTCTTGAATTTTACTTAATTTTTATTTCACGCGCTGCGCTGCTATAAAAGAAACTGCAACAATCGTTGTGGCATGCAGTAAGAGGTTCCGCGTCGAAGCAGCACCACATTACCAAGTAACCAGTAGCACCACTAGACCAGCAACCAGCACCGCAACCAGCTGATAAAACCCGAAACGGATATACCCGAAACGACTATATCGTAGCACCCCGAAAATGCAGTCCAGTTGTGTGGTATGATCTGATCATGTGATGACCAAACATTTGAAATTCCCGCGTGATCATCGAACGTGCCTCTCTAATCGAATTGTGTTCTTCTCCGATCTCCCCACCCATTCCCCACACACCTACCCACCCCCCACCAAAATACAGTTAGTGGTTGTACTGGCCTTGGCCGCCTTGGTGGCCGCTCGTCCCGAGCCGCCGCGTGACTCGTACAGTGCTCCCCCGCCGAGCAGCTACCAGCCGAGTGGACCCAGTGGAGGCTATGGAGCACCTGCCCCACAGTACGGACCCCCACAGCAGCCGCCAGTGGTGCACAAGCACGTCTATGTGCATGTCCCACCACCAGAGCCGGAGTACCAGGCACCCAGGTGAGTTCATCAAGGATTTAACGTCCTTTTATTAGAAATAGTGTTAGTTAATAGTGGAAGCTTAATATTTTGAAAATAAGTTCTTTAAAGGACAACGTTTAGACTCCTTTGAAACCTAGTTCCAAATTTAGAAAAAGTCCAGATATTTCAAGATCCATTGACCAGATCCAGAACCAGATCCATTTCAAGATCAAGGTGATCATCAATATAGTCTCTTTTAGTATCTCCTTTTTGTAAAAACTACAGGATTTTCTATATCACAAATATGAGTTTCCTAATCCTGAATCTTAATCAGTAAAAAGCTTTAATATTTCAAGACCTCTTACTTTGATCTTCAATAATTTCTAAATTAAACTAAATACTCCTATGGATATCCTAGATAATAATCCCTGATCCTGAATCTCAATCAATAGAAAGTCTAATCCCCAATAAAATTTTTATCCCACACTCCAAAGAGATCACAACATCTCACACCCTATGGCCCTTTACCTTTCATTATATCTTGCGTGCTTGAGAGTACTTACAAGCGATAACGCTATATTTGTCTTGTTCCACTTATGATTGGCAACAAAAAAAACCAAAAGTAAACAAAACCAACAAAAATATAAAAGAAAGAAAAACACATTGTTATGAGTATATAATCCAAGCCACTTATGCAGATTCTCTCACAATTCATCGGAGTAAGGCAACTCCCAACTTGCAACTTTAATAATAACCCGGCAAAATGTTGCAAGACACCAATCATCTAATCCAGCTCAGGGCCCTTTTTGGAAAAGTTATTGCCTCATTTCCAGGGTATTTAGCAGTCGTATCTCCCCCAAGATACGTTTGATGGCACCCCAGTGATAATGTGCAAGGAGGAAAATTATTTAATACCAGAGAAAAGTCGAGTATCTTTCTCCAACTTTTCAGTCCATCTCTCAGTATGGCTTTTCTCGGGTTTAACGTTTGTGTCGTCTTCTGTGTTTTTACAATTGGAGTTGGAAGTAATGTTAATTACCTCTGGAGGGGAGTAATATGGCTTTGCAGACCGCCAAACCGTGACTTAAATGTTACCTAAGCTCTCGCACTCTATATATCTGTATATATCTTTGTGCCTCTGTAGCATTTTCAAGCTAATTATCAGAGGCAGAGGGCCAAGGAGCGTAATTACCATAGGGAGCTTTATGTAAACCCGAATTTTTTTGTTGTGGGGATTGTTGTGACACCCGGTGTCATCGTCATCATCATCATCCTCAGCTTCATCTGATTAGCAAGCCTGTCAGGTGTCAGGTGCAACCTGCAACTGCAGCTGCCTTACCATTTTCAGGAGGTCACCATTTATGGGCTCGTCATTTGCATACTCCTCAAAGTGAAACTCCTTTCTTCAGGCTTTCACTTTGGTGTCGTTCAAGCAACAAACAAAAACAACCAATTACAGGAAATAATGTTGACAATGAAAAATATTCGTGAGCACTTAAAGGCTATTTCTGCCTGGCATTTAACCTTCCGGTCTTTCATCTCACATACTTCCATGAGTCGTGGCTTGTTTTGTGAAGATATAAAAAGCAATACTTAAGTAATTTTCAAAACTTGTAATATCTTCTTGTAGGAAACCCCTGTATGTGCCTCCCCCACAGAAGCACTACAAGATCGTCTTCATCAAGGCACCATCTCCACCCGCCCCCACTGCTCCGGTCATCCCGCAGTTCCCTCAGAACGAGGAGAAGACCCTGGTGTACGTGCTAGTCAAGAAGCCCGAGGAGCAGCCCGAGATCATCATCCCCACGCCGGCGCCCACTCAGCCCAGCAAGCCGGAGGTGTACTTCATCCGCTACAAGACCCAGAAGGAGGAGACCGGACCCTATCCCAACAGTGTGGCGCCACCAGCTCCCGAGTACGGAGCCCCAGCTGCCCCGCCTGCACCCTCCGCCCCCAGCAGCTCGTACGGAGCCCCCTCCCACTAAGGTGGCGGAATGGCAACCCTTTGCAGCAGCACCCCTGTCCGAACTCAACCCGAACTCGATTTACGAATCTCAACCCAACTCATGGCAAACTGCATATTTTATGTGTATTATTTTTTTGTTTTGTTTCAACAACTTTAACGTGTGACAAAGTTTACCAAACAACGACCACCCCCTATCCCAAGACCCCCCCTGCATCAAGCTCATAATACCTCCATTGTTGAGCAATACTTACCTCTCGAGTTGTTTCTACCTAATTGTATGAGAAGCATGTATGTATGTTTTCCATCTAGGCTGTTTGTTTCAAATTGTTTGTTTAGTCTTAAGTTCTAGGTCTTTAAGCGAACGATGCGTTATACACTCACAAACAAAAAAATTACGAATTAGCCTTAGTTATCGATAGAGATATCGATCCTGATACCGACACATGATATATACATGACTTTCATCATTGTAAATGCATTTTCAACTAGGCAATTTCCACTGACTCCCAAATATTGCTCATGCCACTCAAGGCAAATCGAAAAAGCAACAAAAAAATTATATAAATAATGATACTCAAGTATATGTTTAAAAACAAAAACATCAATGGCTAAATAAAAGTTTAACGAATTATCTTTAAAGTTTGTTTGTTTTTATTTAATCCAAAGACTAAAAAAAATAAAGTAAAAAAGAGCATAGATAAAGAATATACACTTTCTTAAAAATATTTAAAAATATACACATATTTTTAACGTTTTCAAGACAAAATTTTCAAAAAGTAACAGCCATGGAGCTGCCACCTCAAGCTTAGGTGGCGCCAGCATAGCTACTCCCAAACTGTGGCCCCAACGGTAGAGTGACTCACAAACTGTATATCTCCTTTCACTCGGATTTAAGCCCCTCCAGCATTTGTTTCTTTTGGGTTTCGTTTTGTTTATTTGTTTTTTTCTCTTCTGGCGCTTGGATTACATAAAATTTGATTTGCCTCATGCGGAAAAAGCGCTTTCCACGGAATTTCCCTCAAGTTTTATGATAATTAGTAACGAAACACTTTAAAACGGATTGGATTACCAGGTTTTCCTGCAGCAAGCACCTACCTTAATAGCAATCTGTATGGGCCACTTTAATTGAGTCGTTGCCGCTGACCACTTCCATTTGGTCAACACACACACACACACTCTTAAAAAAATAACCAAAGCACACATAGGCAGTGTATGTCCATATGTATGTATAACGGTTAAGGTAAATCCCTACCAAACCCCACCCATTGCCGGGTACACATGCTTTTAAATACAAACACACACTCAACAGCTCCTTCACGAGCCTGCCAAATGTAAGCGAACTTAAAAACACATCGTTTGCATTTGGCCCTGTCGCATCCCCGCCCCCCCAAAAAAAATCCTTGGGCACCTCATGTCCTTTTCCTCCTGTAAATCGCCCGCCACCCCCAACCATCAGGAGAAACTCCAAGCGGCACTTAAGTGACGCTCCAGCAGCTCAACTATCACCGGTGTTCGTGTGACTTTTCTTATTCTTTTTATTCCAGGTACTCGCAAAGGTAAAGGGGTATATTGTATGTATTTGTGCAAATGGACTATAATGTTATAGGATATGGTATAAAACAGAATGATATGGAAGTCATAGTCTAAGAAGATAGAGGATCATTTAAAAAAACTAGACCTCTTTTTTAGCTAAAGTTCTAGACTCTAACAACAAACCTCCATAAAGGAACTATATTTCAAAATAAAACAATACTTTTCAAGATCATTTCTTAACCTTCCTTAACCAAAAAGAACCAACCATCTTTTACAAGAATTTACCATCATTATCTAGTCCTACATACTAGGTATATCTTATTCGTATAATCTTAAAAATACCCACAATATTTTGATGTTATTGCAGGCAGTAAGCATTTTGATGTCTACAATCTAAAGATCATTTGCGTTGTTCCTTTTTTGTTTTAGCCATGCTGATTTTGTTTACCTGAGCCTCAAAGCCTGCTTTTGGCCTTATCCTCAACAAAAACAAGTTAATCTACCAAAGAGATACCAAACTGAGAACCAAAAAAAAAAAGAGAGTACCTAACTTCCATGAAGAAAATGGCCAAAAGCGAAAGTCCTTCCTACCCTTCGGATTCGGTAAGGATTATGGAAACTCGCTCTTATTTTGTGGCACGCCTGCGCCACACCGAGGTGGGACTAAACTCTTGGGAAACTCAAACCCATACAGCCCACACGGCCCACACAGTCCAAAGCCCAATCCGAGGCCGAAAACCAAAACCCGACTTCAGTTGGCATTGTAATGGCAACGCTGTCGGCACGCGTTTGGCCATCTCGCCTCGCGGGCTTTTTTTTATCCTTCGGTGTTGCCGTCGCCGTGACAAACCCAAAATAAAGAAAACAACAACAACAACAACAAAAAAGAAAAGAGTCGTAGAATATCCTGGAGTGTTGAATAGAAATATAAATCATGTGTAACGAAGAAATCAAGGAAATTCGAAAAGCCAAAGATGAAATCAACAACGTGAAATTGCCAGTCATAAAAAAAGGGTTTGTGTTTGTTCCTGTTTCGGATATGAGTGTGTGTGTGTGCGTGTGTGTTAGCTTGTGTGTGTTTGTGCCAAAGAGAAATCCCTTAACCCCCTCTGGCTCCACGCAAAAACCCTTAACCCCTGACTTCAGCTAGACTCCCCTATTGTGCGTTGTGTACAATTAGAAGGCATTGCCAATCGATTTGTGTGAAAAGCCAAAGCTAAAATTCAAAAGGTGGACGACGCCAATCCTCAAACAGCAACAACAACAACAATAATAAAAAGCAAAGCCCCCAGAATGGCAAAAAAAAAAGAATGAAAACAGAGAAAAGTCCTAGCAAAGAAGTTCCTTTTTTTAGTTGGCAGGTGCGCGTAGTCTGAAAAATGAAGTTGAACCGACCCGAAGTTGTTGCCTGTCATTCAGAGGAGGGAATGGCAATAGAAGAGGCCAAAAAGAAAAGTCCAGGGGCCGGGGGAAATGGGGTGGGATATGGCAACAATGTTGGGCTCTATATATATATACATATATACAGGAGGGGGCACGGGATAATATTAATGAAAGACGTTGCAAAAATGTCACGTTTCCCCAGTCAAATTGAAATAATAATGAAGGCATTGAAGAAATGTCACGGCTCACGGCGACTGACAAGCAAAAATAAAAAAAAAACAAGAAAGTCCATTGGAATTTACATGAATATTTCAAAAAATAAAGTTGAACATTCTAATGGCATATCAGATCCAACAAGAAGTGGGTACTCTTGGATAACACAAATTATATTAAACACAAGACCGATAGGAGACTGAAGTGAAGTATAAAGGACTTGACAAAGGAACTCAATCCCTGGGGAGCACTTTTGAGGATATTAAAAATACATTCCACGGGGGATTGGTATGAATAATTTAAACATATAATATAATGAGAAAAATAATAAAAAACAAGAAAGGAAAGCTAACTTTGGGCGGAGCCGAAGTTTATATACCCTTGCAGTTAAAACCGGATATATATCGCAAACATCGGATATAGTTGGCCGATCCTTATGGGAATTGGAATATATAATCCAATTTATTACAATACAAAATCTAAAAAAAGTCCCAAACTTCTATCTTCAAAAATACGAAAATTGATATTTCTACCAAATACCATTTCCGATCGTTCAGTTATATGGCAGCTATGGGATATAGTCGGCCGATCCTAATGAAATTTGGTAGGTTGGATCAACTGACCAAGAATTAAATCTGTACTAAGTTCCAGCTTTCTATCTTCAAAAACACGAAAGTTGGGTCATTTCCGATCGTTCAGTTATATGGCAGCTATAGGATATAGTCGGCCGATCCTTATGAAATTTGGCATGACGTAATGTTTTGCCAAAAATAGCTCACATGTCAAATTTGAACTCTCTAACTCTAAAAACACCAAAGTTATACCATTTCCGATCAATCAGTTATATGGCAGCTATAGGATATAGTCGGCCGATCCGGGCCGTTCCGACTTATATACTGCGTGCAAAGGAAAGAAGGGTGTGTGCAAAGTTTCAAGACGATAGCTTTAAAACTGAGAGACTAGTTCGCGTAGAAACAGACAGATGGACAGATGGACAGACAGACGGACAGACGGACATGCTCATATCAACTCAGGAGGTGATCCTGATCAAGAATATATATACTTTATAGGGTCGGAGATGTCTCCTTCACTGCGTTGCACACTTTTGACCAAAATTATAATACCCTCTGCAAGGGTATAAAAAGAAAGTTCAAGAAAAGCAAATGATTCAAAAACAAGAAAGAAAAGCTAACTTCGGGCGCAGCCGAAGTTGATATACCCTTGCAGTTTAAACCGGATATATATCGCAAACATCGGATATAGTTGGCCGATCCTTATGGGAATATGAATATATAATCCAATTTATTACAATACAAAATCTAAAAAAATTCTCAAGCTTCTATCTTCAAAAATTCCAAAGTTGGTATTTCTATCAAAAACCATTTCCGATCGTTCAGTTATATGGCAGCTATAAGATATAGTCGGCCGATCGTTATGAAATTTGGTAGGTCGGATAAACTGACCAAGAATATAATCTGTACCAAGTTCCAGCTTTCTATCTTCAAAAACACGAAAGTTGGGTCATTTCCGATCGTTCAGTTATATGACAGCTATAGGATATAGTCGGCCGATCCTTACGAAATTTGGCATGTCGTATTATTTTGCCAAAAATAGCGCTCGTGTAAAATTTTAACTCTCTAACTCTAAAAACACCGAAGTTATACCATTTCCGATCAATCAGTTATATGGCAGCTATAGGATATAGTCGGCCGATCCCGGCCGTTCCGACTTATATACTGCGTGCAAAGAAAAAAAGGGTGTGTGCAAAGTTTCAAGACGATAGCTTTAAAACTGAGAGACTAGTTCGCGTAGAAACAGACAGACAGACGGACAGACGGACATGCTCATATCAACTCAGGAGGTGATCCTGATCAAGAATATATAACTTTATAGGGTCGGAGATGTCTCCTTCACTGCGTTGCACACTTTTGGACAAAATTATAATACCCTCTGCAAGGGTATAAAAGGAAGAAAATCATTTCACAGAATTTTGTTTGTTTTGTTTTTGTTGTTGTTTTTTGTGATCAAAGAAAAGCCCTTCTTTCGGCTCGCAGAAGATCATGCGCCCAAGAGCTTCACGCTGGAGGCACGGCGCATTGCGAGATCCAGCAGAGCGATTTACATCCCATCACTTATGTTGATGAAGGAATAGTAATTGTGAATGATCGCTCGGCTCACGTGTGTGTGGACAATGGCACCTGTGCCCATATAGCTTCAAAACTGAGAGACTAGTTCGCGTAGAAACGGACAGACAGACGGACAGACAGACGGACAGACGGACAGACGGACATGCTCATATCAACTCAGGAGGTGATCCTGATCAAGAATATATATACTTTATAGGGTCAAAGATGTCTCCTTCACTGCGTTGCACACTTTTGGACAAAATTATAATACCCTCTGCAAGGGTATAATTATAAAACATTTAAAAATCAATAAGAGTTTATTGGCAAAAAAATCGTAATAGTAGAGCATATAATAAAATTAACAAAAGCTATATAAAAATCTATTCAAACAGAATCTATCCTATTTAAAAGTCCTTTATACAAAGTTACAAAAAAAAGTCATAAAAAACAGTACTAAACTTTTTAATAACTCGTAAAAAATGCTCAACTTCCAGAGAGCTCTTCGTGCTGGAAAAGAATTTAAATAAAAATTCTAAAGTCAAACTTTCGAAATAGAATTAAACTGATGTGAAATAGTAGCCCCAAAGAGTGCCCCCCGAAGAATACTTCAAAGACCCTGATGCGCATAATTTTCAGACATAAAATCCCAAACGAAACTCTACATAAATTTTGATTTTATGCACAAGATGCTACAAGTGAATAAAACACGAGCTAAGTGACAGTGACAGTGGCAGTTGTGTTGTCGTGATAGTAGTGTTGATAGTACAGTGAAGCATATGCCCAATAAACAGATGGCCCATAACCATAAAGCGAAAGTGTTATGGCCATTACCAAAAGAAGGGTCCTTGCTGGATCGGTCCTTCTTCCTGCTGGGTGGCCGGCCATCATAGCCATAGCTGGGCAACAAATAACTTATGCCCATTGGCCCGAACCGAAATCGCAATTTATGACAGTCCAAAACTGAGCCTGCCAACTATTTAAAGAGCCATAAAATCCCCTGCTCAGCGATATAAAACAAACAAAGTTTATGGGGAGTGACGATTGCGTTTTAAGATCCCCGGACATAAAACAAAAGCCATAGGATTTCGGGACACTTATTAACTCCCAATTTTATTCATCTTCCCCCATTTCTTGGTTCGAACCAAAAGGAAACCCGAGTGCTTCCAGCAATAAACTTCCGCCAAACCAACCAACTTTGGCAACCAATAAGCGACGAATGATGGCCACCACCACCACCACCTCCACCAGCACCGCCACCAGCGGCAGCACATCCGCCTCCACGTCCCGGAACGGTGGCTTCTGTGGTGCCCTCCAACGGGCGCCGCCGCCCATGCCGCCCGCCCTCGTCCGGAGACTGAGCAGCAGGGAGTGCTATGGTGTGGGCAAGGTGAAGGTCATGCTGCGGGTGGCGGAGCGGGACAGAAACGCAGCCGGAGGAGAGCCGGACTTCATGGCGTTGGACAAGAAAAAGCGCCAAGTCACGCTCACAGATCCGAGGAATGTGTGCCCGCCGCCACAGGCAGCCCAGGAGCGGGGGCCCATGGTGGCAGCACCCAAAATGTTTGCTTTCGATAACCTCTTCACCGCCGAGGATAAACAGGTGAGTTTGTTTAATTAATTTTTTAAGAAAAAGGTATACTATTTTTTAAGAGAGTTCTTTGAACTCTTGTCCAAAAAACGAACTACATAATTGAACTTGAAAAACAATCGAATTAAACTTCAATCATAGTCAGCAATCAAAACTGGATTATAATCAAGTTTCATGGATTTTTCGTCCAATCAACTGTATTGAAAAGCAAATACTAAAATGAATCTGAAAAGCAAAACGCGAAATGTTTGCCCACAAAGTCTGCGGAAACCTGAAACTTTTCAAGTTTGTTTTCTTTTAAATATAAACAAAGACTCTCCTTTCCAGTCAACACAGACTTCTATACAATTTCCCTTAAAATAATATCCAATAACAATCTCGAAAAAAAACTACATAGGCCACACACTCTCCCCTCGATGTAGCTCTTTGTAGCTTTCAGTTGACAGACACATTATCTGCCCAGGTATTTAACTTGTTATGGGATTACAAAAGAGGTGTTAGTAATTCCGAAGAATAACAAGTCACCACAGCAATACCATAATCAATCTTCATAATTCAAAGCGAGCAAAGCTCCAGCCGCACAAGATTTATGACCCTCGAAGCCCAATCACTCATAAGGAGGCAAGCCCTCCGAGCGAAAAAAAGAATGAAATGGACCCAATAGAATTAACACATACGCGCATTGTCCTCCCCCATTTGGATCTAATCAGCAATCGAATTAACCCCGCAATCGAACCCAATTCCAGCCATTAAAGAGGGCCCATTAGTATGCCTTGTTAGCCACCACCCATTGACCTCGCCTCCACACATTCCCCAGGGTGGTGCAGAGAAAAAAAAAATATATATTGGTTTAGATAAAGTTCTTACTTATGCTTGAAGGTATTCAACTTTTTATGAATCCTTAAGGAAGGACTATCATTGCTAAAAACTACAACTAACTTATATTAAAAACTATATATCATATAAACCCAAACCTATTACCTATCAAGTCCCATATTTTCTCCTTGTTTATATTCCATTTCAGTCGGATGTGTGTGCATCGGCGTTGAGCGAAGTGATACCCGCCGTGCTCGAAGGATCTGACGGCTGCCTGCTGGCCATGGGATATCCTGCCACCGGGCAGTCCCAAACGGTGCTCGGCGAGTTGGGCGGCAGCAGTGGGAGTGGTGGCAATGGTGGCACGTCGTGCTCCCTGGGAGCGGCCCCCTGTGCCATATCCTGGCTGTACAAGGGCATCCAGGAGCGGCGCCAGAAGAGCGGAGCTCGCTTCTCAGTGCGTGTCAGCGCCGTGGGCGTTAGTGCCACAAAGCCGGACACTCTATCCCAGGATTTACTCATTTCGCATGCAGCCGGTAAGCATATGGTCTTTGGGTGGTAGAGCCAGTACAGCTGAGGGCTATTGACGGGCCACGATTAACTGCAGTGTTTGCCAAATAAGCCATCAATTTTGTTTGCTTTGAGGGGAATGAAAAATAAGTATATTTTATTGTAGGGAAGTTGGATATTAAAAAAGATAATATATTACTTCAGACCATGCCCCCTCTCCTAGGGGAAGATAATTAAGAGATCATCTTTTAAAGTCAAAAGTGGAGTACCCCCATTTAGGCTAAAAAACATATTTGAAAACATTTCCCCTGTAATTTCTTAATACAACCAGTTTTGTATAATTCAGTAACTTCTGGTAGTTAGCTAGTTGGCAATACTCTGGGTCCACCTGTTAGCTGCCAGCGGGCAGAATCGCCGGCAAAATAAATGACTCCGGCGGGGGCTGGGTCTGTGCCGGGGGCCAGGATCCGCCAGGATAAGGGGGATTGGGTGGGAGGCGTGGCACGAGGTAATGTTGCCCCTGGGCCAAACAATGATGATGATGACTGGGGCGGGTCGGGGTCGTAACTGGCCCAATTTGAATAAACTTAACCTGGGCAGCAGTTCCGACATTCCCATACCCATTTTCCCCACTCTTTATCAACACAAACTCCCCCGTAGAATACGGCGTTTATTCCCACATAAAACCTAATGCCCTTTTCATTCACTTCCCCGCTACCTTTCGGTCTCCGCTGGAACTCCGACACCATCTCCGACTGCGACTACGACTACGACACAGAATCTGACGACTCCCCGGGGATTTATTTGCGTGACGACTTCCTTGGCGGTCCAACGGAACTACGTGCACCCACCGCCGAGCGTGCGGCCCTCTTTCTCGACTCGGCGCTTGCCGGACGCTTAAAAAGTTCCGGTTCCACGGGATCTGGGAGTTCTGGAACAGGAGCGGGAGCGGGAGCCGGATCAGGGACTGGAGGCGGATGTGCTGCCCCCTTGGAGTCCGCCCTCATCTTTACGCTGCATGTCTACCAGTACAGCCTGTCCCGCAAGGGGGGTGGTAAGTGTCCAACACATTGTTGTAACCATTTCTAGGATTGCTCTTTCTAGGGTTAAGATGACTTGACAAGAATGTTTGAAAATAAGAAAGTTTTAATTAAGATTAATATTAGTTTTTTACTTGGTTTTTTATACCTTTTAAATCATTTTTCTTTTAAAAATAAAGTCTTTAATATTTAACTTTAGTGTATAATATTATTCGGTTTTAAAACTCATACCTAGTTTCTTGTTATTGCTATTGTTGCTGCCACTTTTGTTGCCACTGCCGCTGCCGTGGCTGTTGCTGTTGTTGCCACTCAAGTGGCCCGCTAAATGCTTCACTACCACTAGACGGCAGCGCCATTAAAGTGTCGCATTTCCTCCACTCCAACACCACCCAGAAACCCACCACCCATCACCCCATTTCCAACCCACTCCCACCCACTTTCCATCCGCAAACACTAAGGGAAAAATAAAAAAAAATAATATTGGTTCTTTCTAACCAACATCGCGGAATTTAAACAAATATTTGATGATCCAATTTTTAAAATACACAATAAGGATATTTTTATAAAGGATATTTTGTGGCTAAACAAATTTCTGGGTGATTTTTTTTCTTCATGTGCAGTGGCTGGCGGTCGGAGCCGTTTACATATCATCGACTTAGGAGGATGTGCGAATCGCAGCGGGGGCCTGCCGCTGTCGGGGATCGGGAACATACTCCTGGCGATACTATCCGGCCAGCGACATCCCCCCCACAAGGACCACCCGCTGACCCCCCTGCTGAAGGACTGCCTGGCCCCCATTACTTGCCATGTGGCCATCATGGCCCATGTGCGACCCGAGCAGAGCTACCAGGATGCCCTATCAACAATTCAAATTGCATCGAGGATTCATCGACTGCGCCGCAGGAAGCACCGCGTCCCCATGCCCCTGGCCGTGGGCCTGGCCCAAGGACTCGGCGGTAATGGCTCCTCGGCGGGATCCGGCGCAGATCCCTCCAGTTCAGAAATCTCAGCCGACACTGTCATCTATATGGGACCCAACGACGACGCCACGGATGGGGAACACCCGCCCGTGTATCTGCCATCGCTCAGCGCCGGCGACAACAGGGGGGTGATGAGCAAGGCCCTGAAGGGGAGCGGCCTGGAGAAACCGCCCTCGAAGTCGGCCAACAACAGCCCCATGATGATGAAGAAAGTCCTGGCAGCCGAGAAAGGTGAGTGGTTGAGGGCTGGGGGTTGGAATGCCAAATGTACGAAAGTGAAAGCTTTGCGGCTTAGTTTTATTGCCGGAAAAACAACGTTTTTAATTAAGAGAGATTTAATTACCTTAAAAAGTTAGCAGCTCGTTTTCAATTCAATGGATTTGAATCAAATTCTGGGTGTCTGGCTGGGTCTGGGAAATTGTGTGTGAATATGTTGGCAGGACTTTGTTAGCATCATAATAATTCATATTAAAGGGTACAAGAGGCATAATATTTTAGACCAAACAGAACCTTGTTTAACATGAAAGGCATATGATTTATTTTATAAACCTTTTCGTCCTTTTTACTAACCCTATTTTAGCCAAAAAACTACCAGGAAGTAATACGGGAAGCCTGAAACGTTCGGCCGGAGCGGGAGCCTGCTCCTCGCCTTTGATTCCCCACGAACTGCCCCAGCAGCCCATCCAGGCAATGGGCTCCCCCATACCAATACCCCGACACATGGTGTCCAAGGGATCCATGGTGCCATCGCCCAAAGGATCTCCGATGCGACGAGCTCATCCCGGAGCAGCGCTCGAACAACTGGAGGCGGGTATGCGGAAAATCACGGAGGAGCAGTGGATAGATGGTCCGCGAGTGTCCAGGGCCAAGGTGGCCGAGGCGCGCCACCTGATGCGGGAGGTGAACCATGTGAAGCAATGTGAGACGTGGGTGGATGGCCCCAAGTCGCAGTCCTGCCGATCCTTAACAGCCGGAAACCTGCCAGCCTCGGGGGCGAGTCAGACGCAGGGATATGGGTTCATGGACTCCCATAAAAAGACCATGATCCGGCAGTGGGTGGAGAACCAGACAACGCAAGTCTTCCAAAGTACAGTCTCCGCCAACAATTCGCCCACAGCCCTGCACTGGAAATTGTCCCAGCTGAAGCAGAAGTCCCTGGACCTGCCGGACAGACCTGCTTTCCAACCGGAGCCCTCCTTGGACTTGCCACAGGCGGCATTCGAGGCGTTACCTCTTCTGGATCCTGCTCCTCCGGATGGCGACGAGGATGAGGACAGTGGTCCGTCGGAGGTTCCACCTGCTTTGCCCCTTCTCGACGATCCGCTCGGCTCTAGGGATATTTCCCAGGACAACCTGCAGAGGATGCTGTCGCGGCATGTTTCCCGGGAGCAGCTCCACGAGGCTGAACTGGTGGCCAGTCGGGCGTCATCTTCGCACCATCCTTCGCAAAGAAGCATCGATTGTGGGCTGCAGGTGACGGAGGAGGAAATTGCCAGGACCATGGCCAGAGATCGGGAAATGGAGCATACACCTGGTCATCCGCTGTCTGCCCTGAGTCATTGCGATAATATATCCTTCGTGTCGAGCTTCAACATGGCCTGCGAGTCCTTTAGCGAGTGCGGAGAGAGAGCGAGGTAAGCTGACAATGAATATTTAAGCTTTTTGATTTTAGATTTATGATATTATACTCAACTATTAAGGACTTTTTAGGCTTTTCTCACTCTCACATCTATTATTTTTCATTCTATTTCGTTCCTTTAGACACCAATTCGATCAGTTGGCCCGGCTCCATGAGATCTTCACCTCCCAGCTGGCCATGGCCGAGGTCACACCCTCCGCCGCCCTATTCCGCACGGATGTGGGTAGTGTCTTCAGCGAGCCTGTCTTTCACTTCAATGTGGGCCAGAGCAGCGTGTGCAGTGAGCCCGCCTACAGACTCACGCCCAGTCCGCCCCACAAGCAACCCTCCCACAGCCCCAGCCAAGGATCTCTGCCCAGCCTAAACGGGATCATGGAGATAGCCGGCATGGATGACTATTCCCTGCTCCGACAGCCGGACGGGGCTTCGGACCCCAATCTGCAGAAGAGCGAGAAGCGGTTCGCCCCGCAGCACGATGATATCTGCGAGCTGGATGAGAAGTCCTTGGCGGCGGCGGTGGGAAAGCGGAATTCCTTGGAGGATACGCAGCACAAGCTGAATGAAATCACGAATATTCTTCCCCTCGCTGCCCAGTCAAGACTTCCCCTGCTGCCCCTGAACACCAGCTCCGAGGCCTACGACAGTGGTCATGATTCCAACTCCACACCCAGGACTTCCAAGCACTCGGGGATCTCCCGGCGAGCCGAAAGTGGATACCACAGCGTGGCTACTGTCAGGGACTCGGACGAGAGCAGCTTTGCCTCCGGCATGTCGAAAGGTCAGAGGCATCGCATCACCATTACAGGATCGGGAGCCATCGCAACCACCGGCAATGGGACCTTCCACAGGCACAGCCACAGCCACAAGAAGCGACATCGTCAGGATCAAGCTGGGAACAACAAGGGCCTGTGCAACTGGCTCTTGAATCCATTTTCCTGCACTTATCCAGAGACTGAGGGTGAGATCAGCGATTTTTAAACAAAAACAGACACCGAATCCAAGTCCACAAAAGAACACCCACCAAGAAAAAGGAACACAAAGCTAGTCCAGCATTCAAAATGGCCAAAAGAAAATGAAAGCACTTTAAACCAATTAACAGGAAATGAAAAAATATCATAATGTTTTAGGAAAAAAGACGAGGACGAGGTATAGTAGATGAAGAACAATTTTTGATAGCGACTGATTAACTTTTACTAGGCGACGGCTGCCACCACAAAACAAAACAACAAGTACTTTAAAAACCAAACCGAAACGACATAAACACATTTTTTAAATAATCTAATAAGTAACCTAAATATAAAAGCAGTGGGTTTTGCAGTTTCAAGACGATTGTGTGTTCTGTTAAATGAATTTACAAAAATATATCAACATTTCAAACTCAAAAAGAACATCTAAAATAAAAAACATATCCTGGTAAGCATCCCACAGCTGAATTTTATGGATAACCATATCTTTTAGAGAAATTTTAGAAACCATTTGGTGTCGGAATATTAACTGTCTTAGGGCTGCAGAATCCACGGCTTAAATCAGCTATAAATCAATCGATTCAATCACTCAAATCACTCACTCACTAAAAATACACGCATAAGTTCAAACGGGGCTTTAAATATTTTAAGTTGCCAGCTAGCATAATCAAGGATGGTTCGGATAACTAAAATTATGGGATTATTAAGAAATCCACTCTGAGAGAGTTATCCCGACCATACCAAAAGTGTATCTATAAATATTGAACATAATATATATTAATAACATAATCTGGCTACAATCACTATGACTTTACAATGCAGAGATTCATCTATATACATACACTATATATACACGCAAACATATATATATATATATATATATACAAAAATTACATATATCATATAGCTATTTATTGTTTAGTTTCGGGTTATTTGTTCGGGCAGTCGATTTAAGATCAAGTATGCTAAATGTTGAATGTTTGCTTATTCAAACGATTTATTGCCAATTATAAGTTACCAAATGTTTAAATTAATTGTTAGTTAGCTAAAGTTATACACATCTACTACTAAATCATGGACAAGAGCGACAAGAACCACTGACTATAAAGCGAAACGGTTTTTTCCAAAGTAGACAAATGTTAAACATACAATTTTGTTGCCATTTTTGCCTAAATAAACTATGTTACAAAAACGAAAAAATCGAACAAAAGAAAGGGATATGAGAACGGAATGAAACCAAATCGAAACCATAAGAAAATTCAATGCAAAATAAATAAATTATATATATATATATACAATATATATTTATCAGAGATACATATATGTATGTATGTGTATTCTATAAGGAAGAAATCGAATCGATGGATGATTTTAAGGAAACCTAACGCATTATTATATAATAAACCACATTATATATGTATACATAACGATATAATTGATAATACACAACTACACATCATATAACAAGAGGGCATGCTAAACAAAAGATGCCCAGAAAAGTAGGCAACACATCTTGTTCATCTGGGCATCTGGGCTTGTGTCGCCATTTTGTTCGTTTCGATTCGATCATCAAACTATAATTACAATTATCGACATTCCTTCAATGCCTTTTTAGTCAGCGTCATCAGCAAAATAATACAAACCAAAACGAAATGTCTAAGCCATACGAAATCACACACTAATTATATTGCATTATCCATACATATTTCGTACAATTATTATTCCACTTATCGAGCGTAGTTAATCACACCCAAACAAAATCCCCTCTAAACCAGCTCTCTATCCTCTAATATGCTTTAAATTTTAAAACATAATCACCCAAACAAATCCCCAACAAAAACATACACACACAAATCTCTATCAAAACCAAAAATTGCTAAATCTGTGTGCAAAATCCTACAACCTGCAACCTGCAACATATACCATACACTCGTACATACATCTATGATGAAGTCGTCGACTTCGGCGCTGAATACAGACTAATTATTTTTTATAATATAAACAAATTGACAGCTGGTTTTATTGCTAACTGGGTGTGTGGGTCCTGCTATACGGGGATGCTATATGGAACGGAAAAGTGGAACTGTAGTACATTCTACACATGTGTATGGTTTGTACTCTATGGCTTGCTGGATTCTCGCTGGAATGTTATTTGCCTCAGTTGTTGGGCAAATAAAGTTGACGTTTTATAGATAGAGACATGTGCCATAGCCAACTGCCAAAACACCCATCCGATGTGTGTCGTAGATCTAAACGTGGCACTGCTCCCCCAACCGCCACGTATTCCGCCACATCCCTCCCCCAAGAAACAGATGATGGAAACGTGCGGGGTGTACGGCGAATTGTCGAACAATAAAACACGAAAAGGAGAACTGGACGCCCCGAATCTGAAGTTTGTATACCCTTCTCAACAAAAAAAAGGGGAGATCCGAAATAAAAGAGCACTTTTGTGGGGTAAGTATGCGGAAAAGTCGCTAAAGGTTGTTTACTCAATCCTCAATAAATACGGCAATCTTTTGTAGTTGATTAAAGGAGCAATATCTGGAAATGACTTTTAAGAAAAAAGGGTCTCAGATTTCAGGTCAAATGGGGATGTATTTAATGGAATTTTAAAGCATATACGTTAATAGATTTGTCTGAATTTTTCTTATTTAATTTGAAACTATTTAATACCTTCTAATAATAAATTTAAAGCCCCCAACTGAAATACTGAAGGACTATTTATTTGTATAGATCGTAAACACTTGAGCTGGATTGGATTTAAAACTTTTCTATATTGTCTTAAGTGTTTGAAACTTTCGAAAACACCCTCATCTCATAGAGTACAACAATAAAATGTGTTGGCACCTTCTGGCAAATGCCGCGCGTTCTACAATGCGAAAAACTCGTATAAGTAAAGTTCTGGCTCAAGACCCCCACCCTCTACACCTCCCACCATTTACATCCTTCACTTTTCCCATCACCTCCACCTCCACACCATTTTCCACCCACACCCCACACCCACCTTCGAATTTTTCCCCACCCAAGGAGCCGGCAGCGATTTTTCTTGTTTGCTGGCCGTCGTCTTCGTCTTTTGTCTGCCGCCCTTTTCATGTTGCGTTCCTCGAAAACGTCGCCATTTCTTTTCTTTCTTTCATTTTTTTTTTTGCCGCAGCAGCAGCTCCTTTGCATTGCTGCCCCTTTCCAATCCGATCCTGCCACGGCTCCTGGCTCGTGGGGTCGTCCTCCTGCTCTCTGCTTTTTCGTACTTTTTACAACCCTCTTATCGGGAAAACTTTAAATTTTCGCATTCGCAATTCGCAGTCACAAATGCAAATGATGCCCCGCCCACAAGCGACACTATAAAAAAAATTTAAATAAATTCAATTATAGAGTATGACAGGTCCTAGGATGCTATTAACGAAAATCCTATAAAATAAAATCATTAAAAAATATATTCAGAGAGATAACATCTTATCATAAAAGATATAAAATAGTTAAACTAAACAAGGTAAACAAACAAAACTTTTCTTAAAGTGTAGAAAGGATATAGGGAGCTGGGGCAGATCCTATGGCTTGCTCTCAGGGAGTCTGTTCACCATATGTTGCCAATTGAGGCGAAAATCGAAAACTCGTCTATGCTGGAATTGTTTATGACCCCAGCGAATTGAGGACATTGAGGGACTGACTTTCTTCCTTTTTTTTCCACCAACTCCCCCAGTACTAGCCCCTGCCCCCAGTAGTAGTATCCTACACCCTTTTCGCTCCTTAATTTTCTGCACTTTTTTGCCCCAACTTTTCCCCATATTTCCCTTAGTAGTTTTTCTTCTCCTGTCGCCTTTTAATTATGGCTCGCAAATTATTTTCGAATTTTTCCATCATACTGCGGAAATAAATGTTGACTGCAATTTCCCTCCGTCCATTGCCCCTCCTGCGGGCCCTTGGAACCAATTCCGAACAGGATGGAAAAGGATTCGAACCATTTCTTGTATTTTTCCTGTGAGTTTTTCTCTGTTTTTTTTTGCTTTTTTTGCCGGCACTGGTTTTTGCTCCTACCTGTTTATTTATTTCGCCAGGTAGCAAGAGTTGCCAGCAAGTGAGTCCAGGAATCAGAGTTGGAGGTTGCTGATGGAGTCAGTTATGGTCCTGGTTGTTGTTGTTGTTGTGACCTAAAAAAATATTCACACTCACTTCACTTGTCAAGTTGAATAAAGCAAAACGCTGCCCTGAAATCACGATGGTGGGGATTTGTGGGCGACAACCGGAAGAGAGTCATAGTCGGGGAGTAATAGTTGGGAAAAAAATAAATATATAGAGGAATTCCTATATGCAAATACAGTGTGTCTCAAATAAATAATTCAGTATGACATTGATTATATTCTAAAAAAACTTATGCGAGAAAAATAAGTAACTTTGAAATAAAATATTAATCCCATAAGTTAAGAGACTTAATCCTATAATATTGTCATAAAATGTTATCCTTACTGTACTTACTATATGTTTGTGCATACCCTCATTAAAATCTGTCCCACTTGCAATTAGAGTTTGTCATTTGGCAGCATCGCAAAAATATATGAAATATATTGGGGACAGACGGGACAACAAATAATAAAAGTGCCAACATCGGAATGATTTCGGGAATAGGAATAGAAACTGCTGCGGGGGTTCATTGATAAATGTCATCACCTGGCCATCATCCAATGGATGTATTATTCAGATTAAATTTCAGCTTTCTAACATCTCGATTAGAACCTGCAATTAAATTTATTGTACCCATGCAGAATGGGGGAAGATAGGGCAAAAAAAATATTGAAAAATATTTTGTCTTAGGATTTTGATGCAGAATGGTGGAGAATCGATCTAGAAATCGTTTAAGGTACTCCGCTTGAGAATCGGAAGAGAAATGCGGAAGATACAGCCATCACTCTGGGCCCTATAGGGGGAAACCTCATTTTCAAGGGAAACCGCATTTCAAAGGGATCCCATCACGAAAAATAGACAAAAAATCTAAAAAATATTTTGTGTCAGGATTTTGATGCATAATGGTGGAGAATCGATCTAGAAATCGTTTAAGGTATTCTGCTTGAGAATCGGATAAGAATTGCGGAAGATATAGCCATCACTCTGGGCCCTATAGGGGAAAACCCCATTTTCAAGGGATCCCATCGCGAAAAATGGACAAAAAATCTAAAAAATATTTTGTATCAGGATTTTGATGCATAATGTTGGAGAATCGATCTAGAAATCATTTAAGGTACTCCGCTTGAGAATCGGATAAGAATTGGGGAAGATATAGCCATCACTCTGGGCCCTATAGGGGAAAACCCCATTTTCAAGGGATCCCATCACGAAAAATGGACAAAAAATCTAAAAAATATGTTGTATCAGGATTTTGATGCATAATGGTGGAGAATCGATCTAGAAATCGTTTAAGGTATTCTGCTTGAAAATCGGATAAGAATTGCGGAAGATATAGCCATCACTCTGGGCCCTATAGGGGAAAACCCCATTTTCAAGGGAAACCACATTTTCAAGGGATCCCATCACGAAAAATGGACAAAATATCTAAAAAATATTTTGTATCAGGATTTTGATGCATAATGGTGGAGAATCGATCTAGAAATCATTTAAGGTACTCCGCTTGAGAATCGCATGAGAAGTGCGGAAGATATAGCTATCCCACTGGGCCCTATAGGGGAAAACCTCATTTTCAAGGGATCCCATCACGAAAAATGGACAAAAAATCTAAAAAATATTTTGTATCAGGGTTTTGATGCAGAATGGTGGAGAATCGATCTAGAAATCGTTTAAGGTACTCCGCTTGAGAATCGCATGAGAATTGCGGAAGATATAGCTATCCCACTGGGCCCTATAGGGGAAAACCTCATTTTCAAGGGAAACCACATTTTCAAGGGATCCCATCACGAAAAATGGAAAAAAAATCTTAAAAATATTTTGTGTCAGGATTTTGATGCATAATGGTGGAGAATCGATCTAGAAATCGTTTAAGGTATTCCGCTTGAGAATCGGATGAAAATTGAGAAAGATATAGCCATCACTGTGGGCTCTATAGGGGACTTTAGGTGCCATATAAGAGAACAATCAGCTCCTCTGAAAGTTAGCTTTCCTTGTTTTGTTTCAAGTTTGTAATTCAGTAAATGACTAATCACCGATTATATAGAACACAATAGTAGTAAGTATGTACATGTATATTTGCATTTATGTTAATAAATATTCCGTACTTCCAGCTAAGATTAAAATTCTACAAAAAATTCCGAAAATAATGTAATTCATGTGACCTTTAGTACCCTTGCGAAATGCCAAAACTATTTTTTTCATAAACTATTACGTGGACATACATAAGCTGTGAGTCACTGTACTTTTCGTTGTTAGGCAAGCGCGGCTTATTTTTCATTTAAACTTAATCCAGAGGCCTGGAAGCACGCAATGGATCCGCGAGTCTTAGTAGTTATACTATCCGTTTTAGTCCTGAGTGACTTAATTGTTGGCGATGTACAGTATCCTGAAAATAGTCTCACTGACCAACTGGTTGAGGTGGTGAAGTGCAGTGGGAATTGTTCGGAAGTAGTGAAACCTATACTAAATCACTTTCGAGAATTAAAAGGGGCTGCCGATAAAAGCCAAGAATATGAAACCCAGATTATAGAATTACTACAAAAAATTGGAGTACAAGATCAGCTAATAAACACATTAAACACGACGATTCAAATTAAAAATAACCAAATGCATATATTGAACGATTTAATCAAAAGCAAAAATGATCAAAATGACGCTCTTAAAAAAGCAAAAAGTGAAAGTGAAGAGCTGATAAGCTTCAAAAATAATGTAATTAGCGAAAAAATAATTGAAATTAATGTTAAAGACAACCTTATAAATTCATTAAAAAAAGAAATAGAGGAAAAACATGAAGATCTACAAAAAAATCGTGAAGACAAAGCCGAAGATAATAAAAAATTACAAAGTTGTTTGGAAAATGTTATTAAAATTAATCATACTTTGATTGAAAAGGATAAAGAAATACAGGAGAAGACTGATCAGGCAAACATCAGGGACGCCCAAAATAGTCTCTTAACCAGTCGAATAAATGATTTATCCCAAAATTTAACTAAAGCAAATAAAAGACTATTAGAATGTGATGAAATAAACTCCTGTACCACCGCCGAAAAAGGCATTTACAATATAAAGCTTCCTGGAATGTGTGCATTTAAGGCTCCTTGCAATGGATCAGGATGGTTGGTGATTCAACGACGAATGGATGGAAGCGTGGATTTTAATCGGAACTGGACTGAATACAAAGATGGATTCGGCAATTTAACAGGAGAATTTTTCATCGGCCTAGAAAAGTTGCACCAAATAACCCAATCGGGTCAGTACGAACTTCTCATCAATCTGGGAGAAGTCGATGGGTCCAGAAATTTTGTCAAGTATGATTACTTCAAGATTGGCAGTGAGGAAAATTCCTATACATTGGAATCAATTGGAAATCCCACCGCTGGAGGTGCGGGCGATTACCTCAAAACCAACGTGAACGGGAAATTCTCGACATATGATAGGGATAATGACTTGGCGATTGGAAGTTGCGTTGCTACACATGGTGGTGGCTGGTGGTTTGGTCATTGTGGCTATAGGTAAAAACAAAAATATCAAAAATATTTTTTTATTTACATCTTAAAAATGTTAACCTACATTCTTATTTTTACAGCTCCCTAAACGGAAGGTTCTACAAAGATGGAAAAATTAAAGATAGGTTATACGGAATAACTTGGGGCATGTGGGCGAAATACGACTATACCTTTTCACTGACTTTTGTCGAAATGATGATAAGACCTAAAACCTTTTAGGAACATTTTGGAAAATTGAATTTTTTACACAAAACGATTTGTAAACACGAAATACAATTTATTTTTTGTACTAATTTTTACCATTTTTTTTATTATAGTTGTTATTCTGTGGCTCCAACTTGGATAGGGATAGAGAAGCGAAAATAGTACCTGAGGAGACGTAATGGATTCTTCCGACATAAGTTTTTGCTATTCTCTACTAGCCAAAATAATAGAATCTATCTTTTCGAAGCCATTTGAAGCGTAGGAGTAACTAAAGTTTAAATGGCCTGGAAACTATAATGTTAAATCTATTTTTGAGTACTAATGATACATTAAAACCTGGATATATAAAATTGATATCCAAGGTAACCTGGATATCTTTTATACTTCATTTTTACGTATTTTTATACTATTTATATTATAAATAGTATTTTTATACTATTTGGCAGAATGGCGAAGAATCGACCCAGAAATCGTTTAAGGTATTCCGCTTGAGAATCGGATTAGAATTAAGGAAAATATGGTCATCCCTGTGGGCCATATAGGGGAAAACCCCATTTTCAAGGGAAGCCCCATTTTCAAGGGGTCCCATCAGGAAAAATGGACATAAAATCTAAAAAATATTTTGTCTCAGGATTTTGATGCAGAATGGTGGAGAATCGATCTAGAAATCGTTTAAGGTACTCCGCTTGAGAATCTGATGAGAATTGCGAAAGATATAGCCATCACTGTGGCCCTATAGGGGGAAACCTCATTTTCAAGGGAAACCCCATATCACGAAAAATGGACAAAAAATCTAAAAAATATTTTGTATCAGGATTTTGATGCAGAATGGTGGAGAATCGATCTTGAAATCGTTTAAGGTACTCCGCTTGAGAATCGGATGAGAATTGCGGAAGATATAGCCATCCCACTGGGCCCTATAGGGGAAAACCTCATTTTCAAGGGAAACCCCATATCACGAAAAATGGACAAAAAATCTAAAAAATATTTTGTATCAGGATTTTAATGCAGAATGGTGGAGAATCGATCTATAAATCGTTTAAGGTACTCCGCTTGAGAATCGGATGAGAATTGCGAAAGATATAGCCATCACTGTGGGCCATCACGAAAAATGGACAAAATATCTAAAAAATATTTTGTCTAAGGATTTTGATGAAGAATGGTAGAGAATCGATCTTGAAATCGTTTAAGGTACTCCGCTTGAGAATGGGATGAGAATTGCGGAAGCCATCACTGTAGGCTTCAATTCTTAAAGATACTCTACCTTGTATGAAAACACTCCGCCTATTCTACTTAGCCAGTTGAACACGGAGCTCTACGAGTACCAGCCGCAAGTACTTATCGGCAGATACCGGCGTATCTAAAGTATTCGATTGCCTTGTTATCCAACCCGAATCAATTGATAAGCCCCCCGCTGAAAGACAAAAACCAACGCCGAAGGCAAGGCAGGGCAAGGCAGAGGCATTTCAACGATTTCAAAGCGATTTCGAGCGATGAATCAGCGGCTGCTTGGAGCGACTCGGGGGCACTTATTGCGCATCGGTAATCGCCGATATATCATTATAATGTGTGTGACACACCAAGGAAGCCATACAAGCTAGAGCTCCCCCTCGACATGCACTCCGCACAGGCTTTGTTCGGGACATAAATTATATATTTTTTCAAGTATATTTATCTTTTAGATTCAATTGTATTTAAAGCTTGAAAAATTTAATATTTAAAACTTAAAGTTTATAAGGTATCTTATTTTTCTTTAAATAATCATTAAAATATTAAATAAATGTGTATGATTCTGATGTAAAACTTCTTCAAAAATATAATGAAACTATTTTTTGAAGTGTAAGTGTAGGGCAAAGGTTGTGGTGTCTCGGCAATTACAAAAACATGAGCAAACATGAACACAGCAATTGAAAAGCCACCGAAATGAAATTTAATACGGACTAAAAGTCGATTCATGGAAAATTAACCGAGACCTGGAAACCCTTGAAGCGTTACAAATATACATATGTATACCAGCCAGCCAGGGCCCTGCAGGGGTTAAGTCCAGGATCAGGTGCCGGCGCTATCCATGGCCTTGCCCAGTAGGTAGATAAAAAGTGCCGTGCCACACACCTGCAGATCCTCGCCAGCGTTCTCCTTCATGCTGTCCACCAGTATAGTGCCATATTTGACCACAATCATGACCATCATCATGCGCAGATAGAGGGAGTTCCGTTCTACAAAGGCCAGGAATCCCAGAGACACTATATTGCCCAATACCGTTAGGTTCTTCAGGCTGTCACTCATCTCGCAGTCCTGCCGCTCCTTCGCCAGGCAACAGCTCATGTCGCACATCAGCGCAATTATGAAGAATGAATGACCCAGGGCTATGGGACTCCAGCCAGTGCTTTTTAAATATAGATTCATATTGGCCAGAGGCAGGGGAACCAGTTCCAGGACTCCATGGGTGATGTCCCTCATCTTTCGGCACTCCTCCGGCTGACCGCTGGCAAAGAGGACCCGGAGCAGGCCAACTATAGCCGACACGCCGCCCACAACGCAGGCAGCCAGGGCGAAAGGGTGCTGCTCCAGGTCCATTTTCCGGGCAGACATTACCGAGGTGCCGAGCAGCACGCCATTGTAGATGAATCTCAGCCAGGGGCCCGATAATGGTTCGCTCATGGTAGCCAAAAAGTGGCCAAAATGGGAACCTATTTAATTTAGAAGGGGAAAGTTACTCCAAGGCTCTACTTAAATGAGTGCTGAAACTAAGGTTGCTTAAATATTATTCGAAAATGGTACTTATAAGTCGGTAGACCCTTCAGGTGGGTGCAGTGTAAAGTTATATGGATATAAACCTCCTTTACCCCCTTCGAAAATGGGTCATATTAGTCAGTAGGTCCTTCAAGTAGGTGACGAAGTGCAGTATAACCTTATATGGATATAAACCTCCTTCAATTAGTCTGAATAAACATTATTACATATGTATGTATATAATCCCTATATACATTTGCTTATATAAATACATTGTATATCTTATCATCATATGGCGCTACCAGTCATGGGAAGCATCGTAAAAATTCGCTTACTTTTCACAGCAATAAACTTTTACATTCCCAAGAAGAGGAAAAAAAAACAAAAGCCATTAGCTAAAAACGCTTACTTTAATGTTAACTAAACACACTCATGCTTATTAACCAAGAAACACACGTGGAGGAATAATAAAACTTTACGAAATTCACGCACTTTTTATGGCTGCCACCCAATTAAAAAAGGGCAATACTTGGGGGAAGAAAACTGGCGAAATTTTCATTTCAAGCACTCGATTGCGATGGCGCTATAATTGAACCACAGGTGGATCAATAATTTAATCAATTTCCGGGTTTATTGCAGCGATTAAATGAAAAACACGTGCAGACGTAACATTTTTTCACGTAATGGCAACTTAAACTCACTCTTCACACCTTTCTCTTGCCAATTTAATCAGTTTTATGTATAAAGGAACTAAAAGTTTAAACAACTTTAAAAAAGAGACCCCAAAAAATGCAAACAAAATTAAAATTCTAGTGACATTTAAAAGGGATTAAAGGTCCTGCACTGGTATGCTTATTAGAAGTGATGAAAATATTCATAAATTCTCTTAAGGAATGCCTCTGGAAATGCCGTGTTAAACATCCAATATGGTATTCTTGTAATCCCCTCTTTAAAGCTTATGAGTGTGTGCTTGTGTGTATGCCAGTGTGTGTGTGTTAGCCCGACGGGATAACGAAGCGAATATGCAACTTGGCAACACTTGAGCATTCCGGGCACGCACCACGCCCCCAACCACAGACTTTGGCCACCGCCCCTACCCATAGCATAAAGAAAAATAATAATTCAACTTTATTTGTGCCACACACACACACAGCCACACATTCTTACACCCAAACTTTCCAGAAGAGAGGGAGTCTAGGCTGAGGCTAACAGAGAGATGCTGTGGGAGAGGGAGATTAACGCTATGAACTATGTCGAGGATGTTACGAACTACGTAAGGATTTAATGTTCAGCTTATATTAAAAATATAATAAAAATTTGTATCAATAGTTTATAGAATTGTTAATCTTAATTTAATGATAATCCATTTTTCCTTTTAATTTCTTGCCAAAATGTCCTAGAAACCAGCTAACCCAACACCTAGAAGTGGCTGTACAGGATCTACCGATTGCCAGCTGTTCCCTGTCAACACACCAAGAACAACAACACCAACAACACTCCGTGGCAAATTTAATCGAAAGCGTGTAATTGACCTCAGTAAATGGCGAAGAATGGGCGTGGAAATGGGAATGGAAATGAATGTGGGCATGGCAGGAGCGCGGCATGGCAGAGGGTAAGGAGAGGGCTTTGTCGGAAGCTTAGCCAACTGCCATCAAATCATTATCAGTTAAATAAACGACAGCCAGCAAGTTAAAAAGATAACGAAGTCGTCGTCGTCAGAGCAGTACAGGACGAAACCCATACAGCAGCCGGATCCTGCTCCCGCTCCTGTTCCTGCTCCGGCATCTAAAGCACCAACAACAGCAGCAGCAACAGATGATATCTTTGCAATCCACCACCCCCCTCTGTTCTGGCACTCTACGGTGGCTTTGATTCGGATTCAGCCCCTGTGCCACGCCCCCGCGCCCCAATAGACAGACGTAAGCCGCCTCGTTTTATGCTAATTCAAATGGAAATGGAGCCAGTCAGCAGCTGCTCGCTGGATTGCGAGCAAAATGCACTGAGAGAATATATTTTTATTAGAATAATTAGAATCTAAAATTTATTTATATAATACGTATACGTTCATACAAAGTCTTATTAATAAGCAATGCGTATACCTAATGCAACGTATACGTAATGCGTATACTTAATGCAACGCATACGTATACTTAATATTACGTAAGGGGTGTACTTAATGCGTATACTTAATGCCAATTATACGTATACTTAATATTACGTAAGGCGTAAACTTAATACTAAAAAATATACTAAAAAGTAATAATACGTAGAATTTACCCAAAATTTTAAGTTTAAACATTTAACATTACAATATCCTTATTAAAAATATTTTTAAGCAATATAATGCTATCCCTTTTCCCCAGTGTCCTTGAAAGAAATGGAAGGAGTAGATTTGGAGGTGGCTGGCAATGGAGGTGGAGCACCGGGTACCGCAAGTTGTCAACGGCGTCGCCGATGCCGAAAACCTGAAAGCTGAAAGCAAAAGCAAAAGCTCGTTTCATTATGCGACGGGCGCTGGGACGGCAGTGGGCGTGGCATGGTGCTCTCTTGATCGGGCTCACAGATAGCAATGCTACATATGCAGATGTACGGTATGCGGATTGCCGCCATACGGAGGCCAGAAGCCACTGTTGTGGACTTTTCCGGCATTCCTTGCAAGGCAAATTCGCCATGATTTTCATATAATTTCCGCATCATAAAGCTGCGAAAGTAATTTTCCACTCGAAAGCACAGCGCAGCCAAAAAGTGTGAAGCGGCAGGAGGGGCGGCGCCAAGGGGGGATGTGGCGGTGAGACAAAAGTGGGCGCCCCAAAATGTGGGAGGAGGGGTCAGACATTGGTCCAGGCGAAGACTTCAGTTTCAGTAGGACTTTGCCTTCAGGAGTTTGAGTTTGTATTATCTGATACCTAACAGATCTGAGTATATCTGATAAGGATATGATCGGATAAGTTTGATAAATATTTCATTTTAAATAAAAATTATTCAAAGGATTTCTAACAAGATAATTTTTAAATACAAATAGTAAGTCAGGATACAGACAGCTAGTATTAAAGATATTAAAGTGATTCAATATAATAGATAAAAGATATATTATAAACAATAATATTATGGATATAAAAAAGGATATACTAGAGTAACATATCATATTTTCAGGAATAACTCTTCATATATCGACATAATACTTATCTCCCTTTATAATATTTATTTTAAAACCAAAATACTAAGTATCTAAAATTCTTTACCCATTTCCCTGTCACTTTTGTGTAGTTTTTTGTACTGTTTGTTGGCTAATGTCGATGGTAGCTTGTTTTTTGGCACATTGAACATTTGGTGTTGTCACCTTTAGGTGGCAGCGCATGCAAATAAGACGGCAAACAGGACTAGGGCCGGAGAAGGACTCAAAACCAAGACCATTTCTGGCCGAGATTCCTTCGCATTAAATCGAGAGAGTGGGGTGGAAGTGGGAGTGGGGGTGTTTGGTGGCTAAATGGAGGGTGGTGTGGGGGCTGGATGGTGTGGGTGGGTAGCAATGACATCTCTTTAAGACGACATCAGATTAGGCTAAGCAGCTGGGCCAAAACACACACACACACACTGAGACAATAGGGAGTGGCAAATTTCATTATGCGGCTCACGTGCGAGACAACCAAATTCACTGGGAAATAAAGAAAAAAAAATGTCGAAAAGAAAAGCAGAAACGAAAAACAGAGGCGGATAACAAAAAGAAAAAAAATATATATTCAGAAAAATACAAATACAACACGGTGGGGTGAAGGTGGGGTGCAGTAGGGGGAGTAGGGACATGCCAGGACAGAACAGGGAAAAGTCCCTGGAATATCGGAAGGAAGCAGCAATAGAAAACGTACCAAAAGCGAAACACGCAACCCAGAAGCAGAACCAGAAGAAGGAGAAGAGTCCAAAAGCTAGAAAGAAGAAGAACTGGCGCCAGGCTCCACCAAAAGAGGAGATGCCATCTCCTGACTCCATCTCATATCTCCAGCCTCCAGCCCCCACCTACTTCTGATTTTGTCGTGGCTGCCAGGAAGGAAGTCAGTCAATGCCCGCAGCAACAAAAAAATAAAGAATCTAACAAACAGCAACAACAATAACAAGCGACACAGTAGAAACAAACAACAAAAACACAATGCAAACACAGTGCACTCTCAGTAAAGTGAACTAATCAAAATTAGAACAAAATAGTTTTAAAGGTATTTAAAATAATAACCAGAATGTCAAGAGATTGCAATAATTATACTTTTAATTTTTTATAAATTTATAAATTATAAATGATAATGCATTTAATTTCCAAGTTATATGTTGTTTTATAGCAGAATGGAATATGTTTTTATAAGCAGACTATTTTTTGGAACATGTCATCCTCTTGTTATGGCCTCTAAAAGAACTTTATTATTTAAATTTTGCATTTAATTCTAATAATAATTTTTTTAACTTACAATTAGGGTTTAATATATCCTGTTTTCATAAATGTTAGTAGGAGTAACAGTTTAAATATAAAAAGAAAAAAAATAAAATAAACAATTATACTTTTGAAAACTATGTGGAATAGATTACGAAAACCACAAATAATATTACTCATACGCAGAGTAGTACATACACTCAAGAAAGACCAAATACCAGAGACCTTAATCATTATGAGTTTTATTTTAAAAATCCCAAAATAATCATTAGTCTCTATTATTATTTGAACTTCCTAACCTCTATAAATACACTTTCCACTATATCGTATAATTACTGTGGCAATGGGTAGTGGAAACGAGACGGCCATAGAATGACTAGCGGAATGCCCTCAACCTACAACCTCAAAACACACGTAGATAAATTTGAGTAATTCCTGCAGGTGAAAACGGAAACGAAACAAAAGTAAAAGCAAAAGAGCAAACTAAGGTTTCATCCCAACAGTCTAGTAGGATTGGTAGGGGGGAGGAAAGGAAAAAGTTTTCCGGCAGCAGGGAGGACGGGGGAACAAGACAGGCTGTGACAACAT